TTGAATATATATAAATGATTTTATTTAAATTTTGTTTCATTACTCGAAATGAAGTAAATTCAAATCTGAATACAATACAAACGTATAAACGCATTTATCATTATTAATATAGTTAGATGGTAATTGTATTTGGTTAGACAACGTTTCACAAAACACTTATAGCTTAATTTGTTTTTCTTTTCTTTTCTTTTAATAATTATAATAATGCACAACAATAATGTACTTTGTTTATTTGTTTTTGTTTTTGTAGTTAGTTGCTAGTTATTGCCAAGTGGTTTTGACTAACATTTAAAGCGTTTCAACTTATTTTTGATTACACATTGCACATTCTTTTGATCAGAGGTATATATAGTATATACAATATATACTTTCAATAGATTTTGGTAACAATTAACTTTCACTGGGCGCCGCCAAAGAAAAAAACATCGCTCGAGCACAAACAAATATCGCTGCTAAAAGATATATATATATAAATATAATATCTACATAAGTTTATATATATATATAAGCTATGGCAAATCATGTATATCAAGTCACAAATATATATGTATATATATTGTTTAGTTTATAGTGTGTTCCGCTGGTGGCATTTAAAAACGCGTGTAAAAAGCCTTGGACGGTAAATGTAAAGCATCGCTGGATCTCAGGATCATTAAAGATCATCGGGAAACAGCTGCACAGTTGCAGTTGCAGTTGCACAGTTGCAAGTGTGAGTAACTCTAATGGGGCAAGTATTCGGCGGCACGCTAGCACAACATTTAACTCTAATTCCATTTTGTTAGCTAGTCTTTTTTTGGCTGAGTCTTTTTTTGTTTTTCGTTTTGTTCTTTTGATTTTATATTGCACCTAACTAGATTACAGATCACTCAACTTACAATTAGTATATAATTAATAATAATAATATAAAAAAAACAACTACAACACAGTTAAGTATTATCTGAGCAGACCTGTAGGGTGTTTTTGAAATAAAAACATCTTTTAAGTTGTGTAATTAAAAAGAAAGTGAAAAGCGGACAAAGTATTTTTGTTATTATGACAAATGCACAACTATTTGAAAAGAAGGCAATTCATTTTGCAAATGTTTTTAATGTAAATTCTTTTGTCTAATGCATAAGTAAAAAATTAGTGTTAATTCATAACTTGGTTTTTTAATATTTACACCTAGAACTGTAAATTCTATCATGTGTATTTTGTAAATTCATAATGAGAATACCAATAAGGCATTTTTATAATGTCTTTAAGCTGTGGAATTTTATACTTTTAATGTGTAATATTTTAAACTAAGCCTGTAAGGAACAAGGCAGGAAGTATTTATAAAAAAACATTTTTAAAATTTAGAATTTCTATTTAAAAATACTACCATTTAATAAACACTCTAAGAATAAATAAAATCAAGAAAGGATATTCATTGAAGTGTTTACAGAGAAATTTTAAAATTTAGAATAAAACGCTAAATAAAATTAAGGTATGCTTTGAATTTTTAAAGTGAATACCACTCAAGGATCCAAAAGTATCCCAACTAGAATTTAATAAATTTTATGCACGTATTTTGAAAATACTTTTCTAACTATATTTTTTACAGGTCTGCTCCAAGAATTACAATTACTAGGCACACAGAAACTAGAAACGTAGAGTTGCCAGCCTCACTTAACTATACGAAAATGCTGCAATTTCTTGTTCGGCTTTCTTTTGTTTTAAGCATTGCACAAATTGAAATAAGAAAATAATTATTTTATATGTAGCTGCTGAGAGCGCATTCAAAGCAAAAAGCGAGCGCAGCAGCAGCTGAAAGGCGTTCAGCGGATGAAGGATGAGATGAGGACATGCCACAACGACAACCAGGCGTAGATAGACAGAGAGAGAAACAGAGAGAGAGAGAGTAAAGGGGGAGAGGGAGAGAGAGAGAGGACTACTCAGAGATGGTTGATTTTGCGCCACTGCTTCATGACAAAATTACCGCAACACCAGCTGCCCGATTGCCGTTTCGTTCCATCCGCATTGAGTTCCGCTGCTGCTGTTGATCCTCTGCTGCCTCCTCCTCCTCCATTGCGCAGCAGTAGTTGCTCGCCACGCTGCTCCGCATCGCTGTCATCGGAGCGCTCGCCACCCGCCAATTGAGGTGTGCTGCGCTGCAAGGTGCTGGTGCGCAAAGCACCGCCACAATTCATCAAATAGCCGGCACCAAAGCCGGCATAGCGATGCGCGGTTGATGTTGTCTCAAAGGAGCGATTCAGGCGTCTGTCGTAGAGACCCGGATGTGCATCCGGATTGGGCTTGACTATAGTTGTCGTCCCACCAGTTCGCTGATAGCTCGCCTGTGGCAGCAGCTTGGGCGACGCTTTACTCTTCCGCGGCAGCAACGGGGATGTGGTGCAAACATTATCATAGCCCGAGCCAAAGCCGCTCTTCAGGCGATTCAGGGATTTGCGTGTGGCACGCTCCTCGGACAAGGCACGCTGATAATCCTTGATGCTGGGCACGCCCGAAGAGTAGCGCTGAGCGGGCTGCAACGAGCCCACCGAACTCGAGTACAAATTGAAGCTATTTGGGCTCGCCTCACGCCAAATGAAGGAGGAGTTCAAACTGCCCGCCGAATGTTGACGCGATTGTTGCTGCTGTGGATGTTGCTGTTGTTGATGTTGCTGCTGTTGATGTTGCTGCTGTTGATAATGCTGCTGCTGTTGCTGCTGTTGTGTTAGATGTGTTGCATTTGCTACAAAAGGCAGCTGCGGATTTGAGGTGGAAAAGGGTTTGCTTGTTTTCAATTTGCCGCCGCGTATTGGCAAACAAGGCGTCCATGGCTGCAATGCTATATATTGTTGAAGTTCAGGTTCAGGTTGTTGTTGTTGTTGTTCGGGGTTGTTGCAGAGTTGCGCGTGAAAGACAAAGAGAGAAAATGAAGATATTTGAAGAACGAAAAACGAAATACCAACAACAACGACACACAAGAAGAATAAAACAACAAAAAGCCCACAACAAATAACCAAAATTAAAACAACGAAAACAGAACAGATAAATTCGTCACGCCGAAGTTTAAATATCCTTGCAGAAGATACGAATATGATAGCTATATACTATATATAATAATATTTTATAAAGTCGAAGTTTGTCTGGGATAAGAGTTTATCTTTCTTCCTAATAAACTAGATCGCATAGAATCAGACGATAAAAGTTTATACAGAATGTATATATATATAGGAAAGTATATATTGAAAGTATGTACTGCTGATGCGCATATATAATCTTGATCATTTACGCTCAAAATAGTTGCAGTGTTGTTGCACAAAATTGAAAATGGTAAATAAAACTTTTTCCCATGTTTGATATTTTTCCATGAAGTTTAGTCTCCCAAGAAGTAAATTGTATTTAATTTGCAACAATTTTAGACATGTCTTGTAACAGAATAATTTAAATTCATGATATATATCTATAGTTTATGGAGTCGACAATCTCTTACGACATAATTATGATACCCTCTGCAAGTTTTCAAAAATATACAAATGAAAAAAAAAAGAATGTTCGAAAAAAACCGAAAAAAAAAATTAATTGGACACCAACAAAGGACAACAACAACACAGTACATGAGGCAAGGAGTGGTGTGTGTGTGTATGGTGTATGTGAGTGGGAAGTGTACAAATGTGTGTGGGTGGATGAACATGAAACCAAGACCAGCTAAGATAATGAGTTAAAAGCAGGAGAGGATTTGAATAAAGCCAAAAAACGTATAGCAAAAAGACCACAACCAAATGAAAGGGCACAAAATAAAAGAAGTATTAAATAGAGGCAAATACAATTAAATGGAATATTCTAATTAATTCTCTTTGTAACTGAGGTATTCCAACAAACGGAGAGGAAAGAATTTTTGGAGAGGGCAAATTTTTGAAGACGATAAAAAATTGTTGAACGAAAAGAACAAAGGATAAATATTTGGGGCGCAGGCAAAAGAGTTTAAAAGTTAAATTAAATTATATTGAAGTGTAATTTTAAATATAAAATTGATTAAAAAACATAGCAAATATATTTAAAAAATAAAATGCACCTCTAAAAGAGCCCCAAATTATAAAACGCAATCAGATGGGCCTTAAAATTAATATGAATTTAAAATAATGAATTGCGATTTGTTTTCTTTTTGTTTGATGAGCAGCGATAACAAAATAAAATTCGACTGAGTTGTACATAATTAATGGGCAAAAATTTCCAACAAATAATTATATATTTATTATATATTATGTAAGTATATGTAGTATGTATAAGAGAATTATATAAGAGTATGTATAAGAGACCAGAACACATTAGCATAGAAATTACAATACATCGTTTAAATCCAATTGAATGAGCGCTATCTGTTTTTTGCCAGATTTCTTAACAATTACAAAAATATATTTGTTTATTTATATATATATATATATATAGAGATATATATGTGTGAAAATTAACAAAATGAAGTATGTTTAAATCCATTTAGCTGTTACAGTTAAGAGTTCCTCAATTATACAAGTTGTAATATCCAATTGTTAAAATTATAAAAATAAAAAATTAAACAATACAATTGCGCTTTTAAATGGTATTATTTGTTTCTTTTGGTTAAACAATTATTTTTTGCTTACAAACTAATACAATTTTGCAGTAAAAACTCTTTAATTTTCAATTTCATACATTTTATTGTGAAACGTTTAACGAAAATGTTAAAAATTAAAACCAAACCAAAACAAATGTAATAAAAATTTCATTTTTTCTTTTTTAGCAGCTTTTTTCACATTAAGTGGGCGTGTTCAATGTGTGTGTGTATGGGGTGTGTGTGTGTATGTGTGTGAGGTAAAGCAATTTGGCTACAAAAATTTCATTGATGAAAGCGCACAAAGAAAAAAAAAGACTTAGGACAAAAACTTGAGCAGAAAGTAAAATTCGAAAAACAGGACACACGGAAAAAGCTAAAACTCTAGGAACTAGGATCTAGAAGGATCTCTAGAAGAAGCACATGGGAGATCGACGGCACTTACCCGCGTGTATGGTATTCCGGGCGCTGTTCTGATAGGCGGCACAATAGCCCTCAAAGACGCGCAACACCAAAGCATCCTCCTCGAATGTGGGCTGATTTTTGCGACCGCTGCAATAGCTGGCCAAGGCGTTGTTGGAGCTGCCCGAACCCGAACCGGATGCCGAACCGGAACCGGAACCAGACCCACTGGTTGCATTCAATAAACTGGGACGCAACGGCGGCGTCGGACGCAAACAGCTGATGGTCCAGTTAGCTAAAATACACAATATAAAATAAGTTTAGTTTGGAATTTTTTTCGAAATTTAAGTTAAGCAATTTTAAGGGACTTTTGCTCAATAATTGAATGTGAATTGAAGAAAATGTATCCTTATTTCGAGCTTAGGCTTTTACCCTTTGTGCTTCCTTTCCTTGCGTTTGGCGCCGTTGTTGCCGCTGCCGCCGCCGCTGCTGCTGCTGCCTGAATTGCCACCGCCGCCTGAATTGCCGCCGCTGCCTGATTGTTTTCCGTGGCTGTTGCTGCCACTGTGCCCGCTGCTGCTGTTGCCCCCGCTGCCGCCGCTGTTGTTGCCGAAGCAGCCGCCGCTGCTGTCTTGCTGTTTGGTGTCGGGACTAAACTTGATTTGTGGCTTAGTGCCCCCAGATGACTTGGTAGACTTGGTGGTTGTTGTGGATGATGCTGATGATGTTGTTGAGGCTGAGTGTGCGTGTATTGATTGTAGCTCAGGTGATGATTGAACGACAGGCTCCGTTTGTGTTGTGACATCGCTGCAGCCGAGTTGCTGTTGTTGTTGTTGCTGCTGGTGCTGCTGCTGTTGTTGTTGTTGTTGCTGCTGCTGCTGTTGTTGCGACTGCCCGGTGGCAGCAACAAACTGTGGCTCGATGGCGGAGACATCTGCAATAACAATTAGACAATTACAAGAAATTCATTTAAGTACAATTAAATAGAGTGTTGTATTTTGAAATGAGGCATAGTTAGTTCGGTATGAAAGTTCTTGGCAGCTGTCAGCAGCAACAGCAGCAGCAGCAACAGCAGCAAAATTAACAACAAACAACAATCAACAACAACAACGTCCTTAGAGCAGCGAGCAAAGCGCAGCAAGCAAATCAAATCGAGATTTTTGTTTTTCTTTTTGTGTAGCGTTAGATAATTTGTTTTGTAATTCGTTTTGGGTAACTCGAAAATTGTTTGTTTTTTTTTTGTTTGTTTTTTGGTTAGTGAACGCAACAGGTTGCAAAATGTGCGTGAATGAATAAGGCTTGATGACAAATCAGTTATTATGTACGGGTCTATCTTTCAAAAGAACGAGCTTGAAATAAGATTGATCGATTTACATCTGCAGTTATCGATCAAGGTGTTATCGGTTTGCTAGCCCCAGGGTTGCTGCTCATGCCAATATGAGCACTTTATCTGAGGCCGAACTGAACTGGAATAAATTCCAAGTTTGCTTGGCCTGCCAATATGAGCACCTTTCAACTAAAATATATTGAAGCCTCTAACTTCAGTGGATTAAATAAGAATTTCTGAAAGCTTAACAACTGAAAATCTTGTTAAGTTTCAGGCTATAATTCTTTTAAATACTCATCCTACGAATTCTTTAAATAGTTGTTTAGCAGCGCTCTCCAAGAAGAGCTATGAATATGTAGCTAATTAAAATCAAACTAATTTTCTTAAATTTTTGAAATTCTTAAAGATTGAAAGTATAAAATGATATTAAATATATAGGGGGTTAGTCATGTGCTTATTTTTGGATGACTGAGTGGAAAGCATATGTTCGTTCATTTATGAAGAATTTCGAATGAATTTTCAAAAATATATCTTCTTTTTTTTGTTGAAGATCGTGCTGCATATGCAATGCAAAATTGTTGATAGATGATAAATTAATGTGGATGGAGAAACGTGTGCAAAACGAATGTACAAAACAAACAAAGAAACGAGAAAAAAACACGTGCACAAAACGAGCACCAAGAAAAAAAACAACCGCAACAATGGCCGCCTGGATGATGATTGAGGAAGAGGGGAATGTGGATGAGTCCAGGCGACAATTGGGTGGTCATTTTTTTGGTGACGTCTCACTTCGGTTTGCTTGCCTTCTTCGGTTGCTAAAGCTACGCGTGCCGCACAAATGGGGCAATCTAACGATGATGAATACGACGGCTGTGCGGCAAAAGCATTCCGTGCCGCAGCCGATGAACTGCATCTGCGTCGTCCTTCCTTGAGATCCATAACATCATCATTGTTGCACACAGGACAATTGGAACAACAACTGGATGCTGTTGTCGTTGTGGTATTTGTGGTGCTCGTGTCTGCGGCACAATCAGCACAATTGTGGCAAATGGAACAATAAATGGCGCCCTCACTAAAACCACTCGCTCCCAGCGAGCAATAGCAACTGGAGCAGACGGAGGCTCTGGATGAACTGGAATCCTTACTGGGCGGCAGGCGTTTGTTGTAGGCACTCGCAATGCCACGCAGTACTTCGGGTGGCAAGCGCTCCTTCTTCCACCAGTGGGCATACATCCCAGATCGGAAGGTGGGTCGTGGCTGACCCATCTCCTCGTTCAGCTGATCCGCAGAGAAACTGCCGCTGAATTGCAATTGATTGCTTGAATCACGGGTGGTCTCGTCCATCGAGCTGGAGGCCAGAAAAATACTCTTTGTATTGATTTGGAATTGTGTTGTTGTCGCCTGTGGATTAGTGGGCGTGGCCGGGGTTTCCAGCTGAGGATCAGCGTGTGTCTCCTTCTCCTTCTCCTGTTGCTCTTGCTTCACCTCCTCCTGCGTCTGCTCGGGCGTCAGAAACTTCTCGCGAAACAAACCGCAAACATCAAAACGTCGCTCGGGCTCCACATTGTCGAGCACATCGACGCCCACACCACACTCCTCGGCACTCGGGGGATCGGGTGAGGCAATGGTGCAGCTGCCAGCCATGCCACTGTCACTGGAACGGGGACTGGGACACGTTGAGCTCTCGCAGCAGCGACACTTGCAATCGCTGTGCAGCTGCTGATCCCGTCGCCCGCTGCTGGGCGGTGCAGGAGCAGCAGAAGGCGGAGGAGGAGGAGGAGATCTCGCCTGTTGATTGTTCATCTGCAGATACTGATAGCAAATGCACCGACGCATGGAATCACGCTGAGCAGCTGCAGCAGGAGCGGGAGCGGGAGCAGCCTCAATGCACAGCTCACCGCTGGAGCAATCAGTTTTGGCTGCCTGTTCGTAGTTGTAGAGCAGCTCGGCCTGCAGCTGATCGGGTGCAGTACGGCAGGCGGCGGGCAGATCCATTGAGCTGGCGTGCACAGCATCCTCATCGTGCAGCAATGTGGCGTCGACACTTTGATTCTGCTGCTGATCCTGTCGCTCCCGCCAGGTGGGCACATAAACTTCAGTGTCGACGCAACGATTGAAGCGATTGCCCACAAAAATGCTGGGCATGCTGTGCCGTTCGGTGGGTGAACCGGGCAGCTGTGGTGGTGGTGTTGTTGCTGTCGCCAGCTCCGCCTCCTGTTCCTTGCTGAGATCATCGTGGATACTGGCCAAATTCTCGCAGGCCATGAAAGCGCCTCCCAAACGAGCGCCATACAAACTGCTCGCATCGGAGCTTTGCTGCTGCAGCGTGGAAGATGGTTGTGAACTCAACTCCGCTGGCAAATCGTCCACATCTTCCTCCAGCTCCTGCTCCTGCTCCTCCGCGACGCAATTGGTTATGCTGGAGACACCCAAATTAATGACAGCCGTCGAGGTGTGCACACTGGAAGTGCGTTCACTGGACTTGCGAGCCAGCGCTCTCAGCGCCCTCGAGCCAATGATAAGGGATTCCTTTTTGAGTTCATGCTGCACCAGCAACTCGTCCGAATCTAGTGAGTCCTTGAACTTTATGAGATTTATGCTGGAAGAGTGTCGTTGTGGCTTGTGGCCATGATCAACAAAAGTGCCCGTTGAATTGCAATTGGATGCCACAGGTTGATGCTGATAGAAGCGCACATATTCAAAGGGATCCGAGTTGCAGCTGAGCAAATACTCAGCATCTTCGTCATCGTCGTCATAGCTCTCCGAATCGGTGGGCAGCTCAAAGGCATCCTGTCGCTCCAGCTCTGTTGACGGTGCGGCCACATTATCATTGATGTCCTTGAGCATCTTGGCGGAGACCTTGTGACAGCGTTTCTTGCGCAACGCAATCCGCTTGAGATCGATGCTCTGCCTCGCCTGCGGATACAACAGCATCTTCACAATCGCCCCACGCAAACGACCCGACCGAACGAGTCGAGCAAAATGTGCACTGAGATTGGCATATGGCGCCGTCGGTGGATAACAATGGGGTGGCAATGTGATGCGATGGTGGTACTGCTGCTGCTGTGGTTGCTGCTGCTGCTGTTGTTGTGGCTGCTGGTTGTTGTAGTAGGCGCACAGCGAGAAACGTGTGCAGTAGCCACGTGCATCCAGATGCTGGCTGAGCTGCTCAGTTGCCAACAGGTACACCAAACAAGGTAATGAAAGCGAAATAAAGGAATCGCACATACAGCTGAGGTCAAAATAATAATAGCAGTGCTGCTTCACAAGATCATCAAGCAGACAAATCGACTAACAACTGACTGAGGATTTGTGAGAATGGATCACATGCCGGGCAGCAAATTTAGAGCAAATGGTTGATTTCTACAATTGTAATCGAATCTTCGCTGGAAAACCATGATAGACCCTTCAGTATTGATTTTTTTATCATTACTACTACTATTATTTTGACCGCAGCTGTATATGTATATAGAGAAACTGATGGACTCACGTGCGATGCATTTAGTTGTCCGCCCAGCGAGGAGTTGCTTAGATTGCTCAGCTGTCGCTTGATGCCCATGGGCAGACTGGGATTGTTGGCATTGAGCAGCTCGACCCATTTGTTGGCCTCATTGGGTCCCTGGCAGACGGCGATGATGCGATCGATCAGCGGACTGCTAATCTCAAAGGCATTCTTAATGGCCTCCGTATCCTCCAGACGATTCACAACGATACCGGTTAACGGCAATTTACCCTGTTTTCAATGCAATCAATTATTTCATTGATCTTTAACGTGATTCAATTTCAAGACTTACCTCATAGATGAAGGCGCTCATGCGCTGACTAACGCTCAGAATGAGCAGCGTTTGGGGGAAGAGCACAAAATAGCGATCCCGATGATCGGCACCAACGGCCACGCTGCCCATGTGTATGATATCGCCCAGGCTGCTCAGCTCCTGGCCCTGCCAATTGCGCACGGGGCCCGTCAGCACCTGCAACTCCAGCTCCTTCTGACGTCGCGTCGCCGAACATGTCGCCGCAATATCCTTGTAGACGGCAACACTGCGCTGTGTATCACCACGATCCGGATGACTGCTCTCCATGTGACGTTCCAGTTCCTGCAGCATGGCGGAATACTTGTCGAGGCGACGAAATGGCTTGGACAGACCCGTGGTCAGCACTAGCAGACCCGGCGTCGCCGCGCCCTGCCGCTCCATATACTTCTCCAGATCGTCCCTGTTGATGGTTTTTAGGTAGAGATTAAATCATTTTAGGGAAGTCTAGGAGTCTATTGGCATGAGGACTGACTAGTGCCGATTAAGGCTGAGCTTACACAGCTCTCCATTGATGATTCTCTTTATGGGATGTATGGTTAAAGATGCCTAATCTCTACTCACTTATACTTGTCCAGTATGACAATGGCCTTGGGATGTGCCGCACAATAGGCCTGATGGACTTTCTTCATCAATGGGGCGCTGCTTAGAAATAGTTTGCCCACACGATCGTTGGACTCCTCAATTTGCATGAGCAGATCCTCATGGGTGCGCACCACCTCCACAAAATTGCACATCAGCTGCGCATACTCATCTTGGGTGAGTCTAAAAACGGGGCAATGATTAAAATAAATATTATAGAGTTATTTGAAATATATTCTTACATTTGCGTCTGCTGCATGGGCTCCAGGAAATTCTCGAACAGACCCTGCAACTCGGCGACATGGGCACGCTCCGAGTCGAGCAGATCCTTGAGCACCACGGAGCGATACTCTTGTATTTCCTCGGGCGGACGGATGGTCTCTGACAGCGGCAATTGGGCCTTGTACTCGTTCACATAGTTGCTGGGAAACCAGCCAGTCTTTTCGTTCAGTGTACCCTCCCACCAGCCGCCATCCTCGCGCTGTGTCACCGTTATGAGGTCGCCCTTATTAAAACGCAACTCATCGTTGTTGCTGCCCATAAACGAGTACTCGGCCCGCACAATCAACGGTTGCTCCATTTTCCCTGTGTGGCTGCCCGCCGTTCGACAAAACCTGGCTCTTAATTTCCTTCAGCTGAAAAAAGAAAGGATTAAATTTTAAATAAATAATCAATTAATAAATAATAACTTTGAAATAAATATAAATAAATCTGATCACTATTGACAAAGCTACAGCTCTGGAAATTTTTGACCCGTTCCTATCAACACCTTTTGAGGATACTATTTTAATATGGAAACGGAGCTACAATCTTATTTCTAACCCGTACTTAATAATAACATTAATTTGTATATGTATCTAAATTATTCACTTTTTCTTTACATTTTTCAAATGTTTATTTTACTTATATTATTTCGCTAATTATTATAGATCATTGTCATGTTTGTTGAACTTGAAAAATCAGCAAGCGATATCATGAAAATTTTTTCAATGAAAATTTGTCGACCAATAGCGCCGTATATCTATCAATTATCTGTGCAATAGAATGTCTTGAGCATTAACTCTATTCTTTATGGCACCCACGCGAATGCGTTTCTGGCACTCTTCTGGCACAACAACATTGGTGGCTATAATGCCACCAATAACAAAAACAAGACATTTTCACAAAGGAAAAATGAAAACATCTGTTCGCATTGCGGGCCAAAAAGTTCTCTCAGAGATTTTTGACATTATTTTCACAGTCTGGAGAAAGCCGTGCAATCAACAGTTTTCGTAGTCGTATCTTTCAGTGGAAGCAATTTCGATGGCCAAGGCCCGATGCCATTAAAGCGGAAAAAGCATCTGTAGCGATTACGAAATATCGGATCGGATCGTAAATAATTTGAATGAAATATTGTATTTTTGAAAACGGCAACATAAATCAAATAACAATAGCGTGCTAAAAACGACCATGTCATGGATTCCACACAATTTACGAGCGTACTTTTTAACGATATGTTCAAAAAAGATTCTAAAAGTTAATATCCAAAAACAGAAATACATATGTGCTATATGGTCCATGCACGATATCTGGCAGTTAAGCATTGCTGGTCAGTAATAATAATAATAATATGATGTGATAATCATAATAAATCCATTTTATCTGCACCAGCTGCAGATCAACTTTGATATACGATGTTTATGTCTCTCTGAAAAAAAGAACTGTGTTGACTTAGAAACAGCGATGTTTCTATCACCTTCTGATTAGATTAGCAGCATGTCAACAGAATACAACACACAACAAGTGAGAATGCCCGACTGGAAGATACATTGAGATCTCAACAGTTGAAAAAATATGGTAGACTTGCCGATAGTCATTTGTTGTGTTTGAATTTGTGTTTCTCATGCGATCTTAACTAACTTTTCACAGTTGATCAATAGATTGTCTGGGCATATTGTAAATATTAACTGTAATAGCTATATCTCTAAAATGTCGTAGTTTTTTGCTATCGGTTATCGACTTATATCGATATTGGCGAAACGGGTAAAGCTATCGATACAATTAAGTAAGTTTGATCTGCGTATGATGTTCGAGAACTTATATTCCAGCTCTCCGGCTACTTTACTCCCAGAGATCTTTCTGTTAACACAGTTAGATAGATGTAAATTGCTTGGCGATCAAGAATATATATTCCTTATGGGTGCATACTATGCCTCCTTCACCCTGCATATACTTTTGCTTTTGCTTCCTACACACTAATTATAGTTTGCTGCAAGTGTTTCAGCTGCTGCCGTTGGCACACCAAATGTTTAGAACATTTATTCACTTTTTTATATCGTATCAAGTTTAATTTTTATTAAATGCTTATATTCTTTTATTTATGTATGCATAAAAATTACATATTCCTTGAATTTTGCAAAAAAAAGCAACAGGTTTTATTCGTGTGGACTCTAATCTAAAGTTTATTGCGCTAATTTCTGGTGAATGCCTCAGCACACATTTTTAGAATATTGTTTTTCTTTTCTCTTTTTTTTTTTTTTTGTTAATCAAATGTTTTTTTTGTTAGTGCCATGATGAATAACCGCAAAAATATGAAAGAAAAAAAACATGTTGATTTTTGGTATTCGCCGTCGTCGTCGTCGTATTTTGCCCAAAAGTTTTTCACATCCAAAAATAACAGAGCGACGAAAATATAAATCTTGATGTGCCGACTTCCCATATGCCAATGGAAATCAGGCGATATAAAGTATATACTATATATAAATATATATACATATATATGCACAAAAGTGTGCCCAGAAACTTTGAGAAAAAGAATTCTTCCATTACAGGTATTGTACATCTTTAAGAATCTTTAGCACAGAATTTTCCTAGGCAAGGTCACAAATTTTGAGAGACACTCATTAAAAATTGGATTCTCTTTTCGTTTTTTACACACAGACACAGACACATACTTTGGTATGCAGATGTATATAGCTTTAGATTGCATATATATATATATATATGGCACTTTTCATATATTTGCTCAATCATCAATTGTTGCACGTATTTTACGCCGTTTTTCCTAGTCGATTGCCACCGCACGCGCTCATTGCTGCCACAAAACTGCGACAAAAACACATTCAACAAAATGGCAAACGGAACATTTTTCACAGGCTTTCCCAGTCGCATACATCAACTGTGTGCCCGCTCTCTCTCTCTCTTTCCTTCTTTTTCCCTCTCTTTCTGCTCTCCTAATGATCGCGAGAGCTCTGCTAAATACTTGACATACTCAAATATACATAGTATCTAGATATATAGTCTACACTTGGCCGGATACAGTGCATATTTTCATGTGAAAAATAATGATGAAAAACAAGAAAAACAAAAAAAAACGAAGGCATGCCGAAAATTGCATACTCTTGCAGTTTAAAGTCCATGTGCTTACTTTGTAATTTTATTGTAAACACAGATCAGCTATTGAAAATGTTGATAATTTTGGTAAACAAAAGCAATTTTCATACAAGATCACATCCCAAGTCGAACCAGGATCAGGGTGTCAAAAACGAAACGCAATCGGAACCGAAATGCAGCAATTCTTTAGGAATCAGTAACCATAACCGATGTTATTAGTATCACATATCTAAATAACTTTAAAGTATAAGAAAACATTCATCTTAAAATTAGAAAGGCTTGCCATAAATCAACCTTCGCAAAAATATGGTAAAGTGGTAAAAGTAATGTGTAAAATTTTCAAATACAAATGTTTAATAATAATATAAATAACAAAAGAGCTATATACAAATTATTGTAATACAAACATGGAAAACCTTCTGGAAATTAGTCACATTATTTATATATCGTATCAAAACTCAATCTGAAATTAAGATTAATACTCTGGTTTTAGAAAGCCAAAACATTCAATCTTAGAAATTCTTTTTCTGAATAATAAGATGAGGAAATCTGGTAGCCAAGAGCAGAAAATAATTCAAATGTACAACCAATTTATAATTTTTATCGTAACTTTTACAGCAGTGTAGAGGTAGACTATATCGTTTATCAAGAATAAATTATATCTTATGGGATTGTTGCGTTGATTTGAATGCGTTACAAACTTCCCCACAGACTAAGCATATCCCTACAGGGAAGGGTATTACAAAAAAGCGATGACAAAACGAGGCAATCAAAATCCGAATCCAAATCCGAATCAGAATCTGGGCAGCGTGCGAATCAGCAAACCTGAAAAGCAAAGCACGCGCAGAACATATATTATAGCAGTGGGTTGGGGATATATGTTTGACCATTTTTTTCCTTTTCATTGAGAAATATTGTCATGTTTTTTTTCTTCTTTCAATCTCCCAACTATTTATATTTGTGCTTTTGTTTTGAAAAAATCCATAAAAATATTTGAGTTAAGGCATTAAAAAATATGTGTAGAAAAGTTTTGGCAAACGATAAATGTGGAAAATGCGTCATATTTATAGGTTCTTTCAGTAATCGCTTAAGAACATGAAAACGACAAATATTATTTGTGAAAATATGTGGAGGGGACTAAAATTCGTGATTTAGCGCAAATTCACCTGTCCCAATCAGTTTGCCTTTGAAGATAAAAATATTAGAATAGCTATCCAAGAGCAACAGGTATTGCTAGGGACAGCAATAAAACTATAAATCTGGGAAATATATTTAAATATTTATATGTAGTTAGGAGTTTCGGAAAACTAGCCTTATAAATAACAAATAGTTTTAAAAAGTTAAAAAGTTAATATAATAAAAACTAGCAACCAAATGGAGCTGATAGTATTTGTATTTATGATTGATGACATACTTAAGAAGAAACTATTTATGATTGATTGATTGATGACAGTTTAAAGAAGAAACTTAATTGTTTTAATAGACAAAATAAAATCCTCATAAATCATTTTGTTTGCCCCCAATTAAAGTTTGATTTTCCTCAGAAAAAAATGGAAATTTAAATATTTTAAAAGTGCAGAATGAAAATATATCACTGAAAATAAACTAGATGAAATATTTTGCCGTACAATAAATCGTTGTTTTATCTAGCCAAATCGGTTGCATGCACCACAAATCAGTGTGTGGCAAACATAACCCTGAAATGGCATAACGTTCAAGGCAAACGAAAAAAAAGAAATGAAATATTTCCGCAGATAGACGATGATGATGGTGATGGCGATGGTGATGAGTCCACTTTTGTATTTATCTGTCCCATTTCAGTGCGGCTCATCAATGTGCATGCCCGCAGCAGCGACAGTCAAAATGATGCAAGCAGAGGTCATGCAACAGCAAGCAGCACAAAACACAAAGCCAAAGCCAGCGTTGCAGTTGCAGTCGCAGTTGACGCCGCAGTTGACGTCGCAGTCGGCGCATGACAAGCGAAAATTTTAATTAATTCATTAAAGACTTGCACATGGCGCCGACAGAAACAGAAAAACAACAGCAGCCACAACTGCAGCAACAGTTCGACGAGGCGTCACTCAAAGCGACAAAAAGTGCATCCACACACACACACACAGATACTCACATACACACCCACATAGACACACAATTACACACACAATAACACGAATTCATAACTCACGTAAATACAGCTTTAAACAAGTTGCTATCTTTTTTGGAGTTATAACACAATTTCTCTCTGTGTACCTACCCAAGGCGACATTAATGCGCATCTCCCAGGCGAAATGTGTCATTCGCTCAAAAATGTTTATCTTGCATTGGGTAGCAAAAAATAAAATAAAAAACATAATCTCATCGTGAATATAAAAAAAGAACTGTTGCTGTTATTATGGCAAATAATTCAATGATGATGATGATGATTTTGATTTTGACGATGATGTGATGCTAAAACGGCATCCGGAAGTGCGCATTTTGATGAGGGGGAAATTCTCCTGGCATTCTCAGAATCTTCGCCTGTTCCGCTTGCGAGTGAAAGAAAAACCCAAAACCCGAAAATGTAAACAAAAACAAAAAAAAATACTAGTGGTTGGTGTGAAAATTTGGCAACTAAAGCAATGTAAAATGTTGTAGACAAAAAAAATAAAAACAAAGACAGCAATCAAAGACAAAAGAAAATCACAGATGAAAATTGGAAAAGAAAATAAGATGAAGAAGAAAAACACAAAAACCAAATAAACGCAGTTTCGAGAGCCAGTAAAATCTTGTCACGGCTGCTTTTCGAGTCCAATGTCGATGCTGAGATTTCAAATTTGTGATTTCAGATTTAAGATGCGGCACTTGAGATACATTTGGGATGCGCACCCCCAAAAACACAAGACACAAGTGATACAATTGATATATGGCCGCAATATAATTTGATTGCTATCTATCGCTATTTATATACTGAATGCATTTTTACAACAGACTCTTCGCCCCATTTGTCGAGTTTTCAAGTGGGCAGAGCAGAGGAAGTTTATTTTGTTGATGGTGTTGTTGTTTGCCTTTAATGTTTGTCTCTCTGTGATGTGGGCAGACAGTTCATAATAATTTGTTCACAACGGAATATCGAATTGCTAAATGAATGTGGCATTTTTCGTATCGCATCGCCACAAATGAGGTCAAAAGCAAGCAATAGAAAATAATATGCATAGGAAATAAATAAAGTCAAACACGAAGTTTAAATACCCTAATAGTTTTCTCTTCCGAAGTTTAAATACTCTTATAAAAATATATCAAAGGATTCAATGAATCGAACTAATGAATAACTAATGAATGTATATAGTTATTATAAACAATTGTAATGTCACAAATTTAAACACAACACTGCAATATCTCTTGCAAGAGTATAAAAATAAATTAGATTTTGCATTCGGCACAAAATTCCGAATGGGCGAAAAATTTAAATGAAGAGCAAAAGTAACAATCATAAAAATGCGATCAAAACTAATTTCTATTCAAGCAGGCAGACAGTGAATATCGTTAAATTGTAAATACTTCGAAAAGTGTGAAATATATTGAAATCTTGACGAGATACAAAAAAGAAAAAACGAAGAAAAGAAATAAAAATGAGAGGAAATGGGAGTCAATGACATATTCGCAGATGAAATCATATACAATATATAATATGTAATATTAAATATATATAATTATATATTATTGTATTTATAGTATTTACGTCAGCCCTAATGCAGGCAAATTAATATAAGTGAAATAACATACATATATATACATATATACTTTACTTTACTTTAGCTTTTTATTTAATATATAAAAATAATATTTATTTTTCGTAAGGAATATGTGCTAAGAAGCATTTTTAAGAATTGACAGAAACGAGACGTGTACCATTTCTGAGAATGCCCAAATAATTTGTAAATAGATGATTAAAGATTTTTATATCCCCATAAAATATATATTCTCGATGAGCAGTCGATTAAAGTATGTCCATCTATCTATCTAAATTGTATGAAAAAAAGATGTAAAAGCTTATGATTTCAAATTTGGAATATGTCTTCTCGCATGGCTTACAAATATCAAGTTTACTTCCTTTATCAATAACTTTCTGCATTGTCTATATATAGATACAAATGCCAATAAAAGCCACAATTTAAAAACAAAACAAAACACTTAAAGCTATGATTTCATGTAGTTAATTGATTGATATGATCATAATTGGAAAATAGAGCATTATTATTTGTGATTTGTCAAGGCAGATCAGCGACTCGACTCCGAAGTTTGAGATAGAAGATTGAAAAAGTCTCTTGTCGCTAGTCGAGCACATTTAAAAGTTTATTTTATTTTATATTTTTTGCAACTTATTTCTTTAAGGTTTGTCGAACCGTTTGACAACAGTGGCTGGCTTCTATTTCCCCCTTTCCCTTCGCTTCTTCCCATGCCCCTTGGCAACATCCTAAGTCCCAAGGTGAATAATATATATGCATGTCGAGTGGCAATATTTTTTCTGTTCCGTCTGTTTTTATAGACACGCTGCACATTTTCCATTCCTCTCGGTTTTCTTTTCTTTTTTCTTTTTGGCAACAGTTCAAATTTGAGCGCTGGGCCAAGGGGGGAGAGGGGGAAGGTGCAACTTTGAGAGTACTTTGTGGCCACTGCAGTGAACACTGCTTTGGCAACTCCTTTCAACCTTTCAACCGACAAACAAAGATGGCTGCCTGCTATTGACCCTATGGATTATGTGCAGCAGGAGAGAGAGGGGAGAGTGCGGGGGGAGTGGAGTGAATTGCCCACTTCAACTTAAGCTTTATTTTTGTTAGCGTGCAACGGCAATAAATAAAATTTGCTCAAGAAAATATGCTGAAATTGCTTGCTCTTCTTCTTCTTCTACATTAAGCCTAAGCAGACAGTGCAGCGCCAAAGAAATTCGCTTCAGCTGTATGTGAATGTGTGTGTTTGAATGTGTGTTGTGTGTGTGACGCATCAATTGGAACTGGAATGGGTGATGCCACTGAACTCTGCCTATGACAAATATTGCATTGGGCCTTTCCACTTTGTTGATGACTCAACTCAAATGCATTGCAACTCTTCTTACAGTTATTGTGTGTCTTTGAACAAACTCACCTTCAAAATGTTGTTACGTTTTAACAAACATTTGTTGCGCCGCTGCTGCTGCTTCTTCTTCTGCTGCTTCTGCTTGTTTTTCGTCGTCTTCGTTCGTAAATCGTTGTTGTTGTTGTTTTTGTTGCTATCGCATTCGCACGCACAAAATAGAGACAGATGAGTAATAACACCCCCGCTAGCTGCCTCTCTTTCCTACTCACGCACAACAATTATTCTTATTCTTTTTTTTTCGTTTACTTTTGCCACGCGCTTTCACTCAATAATATACATGTGTAAATACATAGATACAATGTATATGCATATATTTACGTATATATACTTATATATTTATATATAGAAATATATATACAAAAAGTGGCGTTTTTCTATTTGTGTGTCTCAATAGAGAGCCGGAAAAAACCACTCAAATCACTCACATAGCTTTCGCTGTTAATTCTCTGTTTTAGTTTAATTTTAAGTTGCTTGCATCTATTGTTAAATATCACTATTTAATTACATACAAACTAAAATATATGCAATAATTTTCGGACAGCAGCAGCGACTAAACATAAATAAACAGCAGTGTGACTGCACGCGACAAGCACGAAAATACCACTGGCATCGACCACCAAAAAAATACCAATTAATAACAAAGATATATCGGCAGAGTTGCTCAGACATCGATAGCGCAGCTGTTCAATTTTAAATATCGGTTGTCTACGAGCACTTAAATCGAGCGTTTCAAAGTTTTGCGCTGCTTGCATAAATTTAACTGACTGTTCATAAATAATTATAATAATAAATAATAATTTTTTAATATGTTTTTGTTTAGATATAAGGCTTCATATATTCGTTCAGCTGCGAAATGTGTTGTCACTATATTTAATATATATGGTTACCCCAGAAATACAGTGCTGTAAAGTGTTGCGCACGCTTGCGGTGACAGTTGGAAGCGCAGCCAACTTTGCTCACTTCTTTCTTTCCAAAACTCTGAAGATGGTGAGTGGACGTCAGTACAAGTTGTGCAGTTGAATTTTGGTTTTAAAACAAATTGTGCACTATTCACAAACAAATACAAATGTGCGCCAGTTGAGAACGCTAAATAGCAGCATGCTCGAGCGAATGTGAGCAAAGCGACATGCAAACATAACCTACAACAAAATGTTTTCCACACTGGAAAGCAGTCGCCGGAAATGCACGTGTAACGGGATTCAATTCGGTTAATAATATTTTCTCTCTCTCGTAGTCCAATATCAAGCGGAAGAAGACCAGAAAGCTGCGTGGTCACGTCAGTCACGGTCACGGCCGTATTGGCAAGCACCGCAAGCATCCTGGAGGTCGTGGTAATGCTGGTGGCATGCATCATCATCGCATCAATTTCGATAAATACCATCCCGGCTACTTTGGCAAGGTTGGCATGAGGAATTTCCATTTGCGTCGCCAGCACAAATTCCGCCCAGAAATCAATTTGGATAAACTTTGGTCGCTGGTCGGAGCCGAGAAGTTCGCTGAACTCGAAAAGGAGAAGAGCACCAAGGCGCCAGTTATCGATCTGGTTCAATTTGTAAGCACGACATTCCTTGATGACTTGTCAATTCTTTTGCTGTTGTTATTATCGATATGAAGAGATCCCCAAGGCGATGGGCGGACTGAATGCGACCGTACAATTGCTCTTTGCAGTGTAGAGAAAGCCTTTCAGATCAATGATAACAAAGCGCGAAGATTGCATTCTCAAATTTTACTCAACACAGCATGTCCTTTAATAATATATTTCTTAAATTTTTTTTAGGGTTACTACAAGCTTTTGGGTCGCGGACACTTGCCCGCTCGTCCCATCATCGTCAAGGCGAAATACTTCTCCAAGAAGGCTGAGGACAAAATCAAGAAGGCTGGTGGTGTCTGCTTGCTGACCGCCTAAGTATAAGGTGAGTTTTAATTAATTAAATTTTCCAATTTTATTTAATTTTTATCTTACATTTATATTCATATTTGATTTATACTTTTTGCAGATATTCCTCCCTTCTGAATGCAACTGAAGCTAATACGTTCGACCATCAAAAATGTATTTGTTTTTTAATAAATTTAAAAAGAAAAACAATCGATTGTATTTATATTTGCCATTCTAATGCAATTTGTGACGTCACATATTGTTTTGCTCCTAGTGAGTGTGTTTGTGAGAGTTACATGTGCAATATGTTTCCCACGCTAATTGCAAAATCGAATAGTCAACAAGTCAAAACATTTCATTTAAACTAAAAACGACTCGCATATTTCAAGCAAAAATACTTTATTAACATAAAGCAATACACCAATTGTAGTTATTGCAAGATAGATCTTTTTAATGTCAAAATTTTTAATATACCAAGAATCATACCCACTGTAGTTTTTTATAGGGTATACATTGGAAAACTTCTAACCTGTCAACAGTCTGGCATCGCTGCCAACGCCAACCCTTCACAGCGAAATTTCGCAAATGTGAATCAGTTTTTCGTGTTCTGTTCCGCTGAACAGTTGATTTCGGCTAGTCCTGGAAGAAGTGCATATATACAATATAAATATACGTGTAGGTCAAGGCTGAGTTTATCTGTTACATTTGCCGCTACTAATGGTACAAGTGTTGCTCGTCCTTGAGCCAAGGACATTGCACCCAAAAAGTTTTCAACTAAAATAAAAAAAATTTAAATATAAATATGTAAATTGCCAAGACAAGCGACAAAGTTGATGTAAGCTTTTACCAGTAATTTAAAATTATGTTTACTTTACAGTTAATTACAAGGTTACATAACAAGTGTTGCAAAAATGGCCCAAAAAGTGTTGCGAAATGTGACGCACTGCATCTTCGATATGGATGGACTGCTGCTGGGTGAGTTGAAAACATTTCGCAACACTAAACATCCTAACGACGCTCAAAATCAGACACGGAAACGCTTTACACAAAGGCGGCCCAAACGGTGCTCGACCCATATGGAAAAACCTACACGTTTGAAGTGAAACAACAGCTGATGGGTTTTCAGACGCGGGCCGTTGCCGAATTTATGATTAAAACCTATGATTTGCCGATGGCGTGGGAGGAATATGCCAGACAACAGACGGAAAATGCTCGTCTTTTAATGGAAAATGCCGAATTGATGCCAGGTATTAATTTTTGTTAATCTCTTTTACTTTCCGGTATTCTCCTTGCAGATACGGAACGTATTTATGAGGATATCACACGGCAAATAGCTGGCAGTTTTGGTCGTCCGTATCCGGTGGCGGTGCGTTTCCGGGTTATGGGCACAACCGAAAGATGCTCAGCAGAAATCGCTGTTGACGAATGCCAATTGCCAATTAGTGTTAACGATTTCCTGAAACGATATCACAAAATGTGCGGCGAACGTCTACAAAAGGTGCCGTTGCTCGAAGGTTAGCGCAGAGTGGGAGTGCGAGAGAGTGGGAGAGACAAAGAGAGATTCATGCAAATAAACATAACATCTGCTGTCAAAAATCGATTGTGCGCTGCAGTTCGGGGCTTTGCATGAACAGCAAATTTCATACAGCGAAAATGTTTATAAATTGTATTCAAAATTTTCCTTTAGTTTCGGCGAGAAAGCCGCGAGACGTCAGAAACTTATTTGCTTTTAAATTACAAATTCTATAAGCTGCCTATAAACTGTCGATGGAGTTGCCAGAACGTTTTCAATAAGTATTTGCTGGCAGTCTTTGTATGTGCTGCACACAGAGTTGCCAGATTGCTTGCATTGAGAATCTGCTGGCAGACTGTGTGTGTGTTGTTATCGATAGAAAATGCTGTTTGTCAATTTTATGCCATATTTTATTTAAAATATAAATATATCGTAAATTTCTTTCAAATCTTTTGCAGGTGCTGAGCGCCTTTTGCGTCATTTGCACACCCACAAGGTGCCCATTGCCCTGGCCACCAGTTCCGGTGCGGAGATGGTCGAACTGAAGACGACTCATCATCGGGAACTCTTCGAGCTGTTCCATCATCGTGTCTGCGGCTCCTCGGACAGCGAGGTGAAAGAAGGCAAACCCGCACCAGATATATTCTTGGTGGCAGCTGGTCGCTTTAGCGATAAGCCGACGCCGGAGAATTGTTTGGTTTTTGAGGATTCGCCGAATGGCGTCGAGGCTGGCAAAAGTGCCGGAATGCAGGTGGTAATGGTGCCCGATGAGCGTCTCTCCCCGGAACGTTGCGCAAATGCCACGCAAGTGTTGCGCTCCTTGGAGGATTTCAAGCCGGAGCAATTTGGTCTGCCGCCATTTAGTAATTGAATGTAGAATGTAGATTCATGTTTGTATTTGTGTATATGTGTGTGCTACTTAAACAAATAAATATAAAAATATGAAGAATGTTATAAAATTTCATTAGATATAAACCGACTTGCCAAATTGTTTTCTACGCGAACTTGCAAGTAGGCTTTGTAGCGATGCTGATTATCAAATGAATTATTTTAAATAATTAAGAGTGTAATATACAGATTATTCTGTTTAAGTCTGATCCCACAATTTAATTTCTGTGTATCTATAATATTTTAATTTTTAGCTGCGAACTGCGCCCACAGCCTGCAATCTTTTGTGTATATCTGAAACATCTTGATTTGTTAGCGAAATGGAGATTTCCCTGCCCTCGGCTAAAACAAGAATATATTTCAGATATATATAGATTATATATATTAGCACAATTTACCATAGCGTACCCATAATCTTGGCTTGACGCCTTCGCATTCTCTGACCAAAATTGCCAAGTTGGGATTTTTCTTTTTCAGTTGGGAATAAAATTTCTGTACATATTCCCTGATTATTTATTTTTTGTTAAATTTGTAATGAAAAAGTAAATAGATATTAAATATGCACCTGGCACCCTTTGAAGCTTTACACTTTGGATCCAATATAATACGCAGTTCTTTTAAACCCACCAAACGTGAGAAATTTATTTTCATTTTAATTTCAAATTTTGTTAAGCCGGAAAAAATCAAAAATGAATTGTAGACGTGGAGTTGCCAGATCGGTTTCACACGGAACTTTCTGGCAGCCTTTGTATGTGCTGAATGTTATCGATTACAAATGTCAAACAGCTGCTTAAGAATTTTATTCTAAAATTTGTTTACGCGTGTTTGCTCGATTAAAGAAGAAAAAGAAATCAAAATAAAGCTAATTTGAGCAATAAAATGACTTCTGTGCATTGTCAACTATGGATGGGCAGCGTAAGTGGACGCAAATTACACTTTAGGTAATAAATAAATTATAATTGTTGCACTTTGCAGCTGGAACCATATATGACGGAGAATTTCATAATTGCCGCATTCCGGAAAATGGGCGAAGATCCGACAACTGTGCGCTTGATGCGTAATAAATATACGGGCGAACCGGCTGGCTATTGTTTCGTCAACTTTATATCGGATGATCATGCGCTGGATGCGATGCACAAACTAAATGGCAAACACATCCCGGGCACAAATCCCATTGTCAGATTTCGCCTGAATTCCGCAAGTAATTCATTTAAATTACCTGGAAATGAACGAGAATTTAGCGTGTGGGTTGGTGATTTGACATCCGATGTGGATGACTATTCGCTGTACAAGGTCTTCTCCAGCAAATACACCTCGATAAAGACAGCCAAGGTGATACTGGACAGTCTGGGCTTCTCCAAGGGATATGGATTTGTGCGTTTTGGCATTGAAGATGAACAGAAATCCGCTTTATATGATATGAATGGATATGTTGGCTTGGGCACTAAACCCATCAAGATTTGCAATGCGGTGCCCAAGCCAAAGGCGGAGCTCAATGCTGCTCTCGGCAACGGTAGCAACAATTATGGCTATGGTGGATCGAGTGCAACGTCAGCAGCCGCACCATCATCAGCAGCTGCAGCTGCATCAACTGGCGCTGGTGGGGATTATGCGCAGTATTATGATCCCAGCAGCAGCAGCTATTGGCAGGGCTACAATGCCTGGCAGGGATACTACGAACAGGCAGCGGCTCCATCGATTACAGACGCGGCTGCCTACTATCAACAGGCCATGTCGCAATCCCATTCGAATCCACAAACGCTTGCCCAGCACGCCGAGGCGTGGAGTGCTCAGCGCAGTGCGCAATACGAGCAGCAACAGCAGCAACAACAACAACAACAACAGCAGCAGAGTGCAACTGGGAATAACAGTTGCTCGGTGGCACCCGTTGAGGATGATTATGGTCTCGAGGATCACAAGTTTCTGCTCGATGTGGATAAATTGAATCGGGAAACAATCGATGCTGATCGTCATTTGTATGATGCGTTGGAGAGCTCCAAGTGGCTGCCCATCGAACAGTTGGAGGTCTTTTAGATTTAACTCTTTTAATACAAACCATATATTATAATACTATTCTTAATTAACAATAAATAAATATTCAATCGGAATTGCCCGTTTTCAATTAATTTTTTTCGACTTCACTTTAAAATGTAGCCCGCTTGTCACCCTTTCATATATTTCTTCCCGAACACGAACAGTATATAATTCGTACTTAAGCTATTAATAAAGATTTATACCCATTTAGACCATATTTCAGGTCGATCTGTGTACAATTTGTAATTGACAATTGGCAACACTGCTAGCAATGTGCTTATATCGATGGCGTTAGGCGTATCGAAAATCTGCATCTTTAATTCGATAATCGATTATTCTTGCTGCTATCGGCAGTTTTGATTGCATCGCCAAAAGTACATCTCTAATTTGATAGACGACTTTTACAATTGCCGAGCAAGAAGTGACTGAAAAATTCCTATTAAATGGCGCCGTTTAAGCGCGTCCGCCAGCCAAAAGTCAGCACACAGGCGCTGCTCGAATTCGACCTGGGCGAAAGTTCATCGGACAGTGATTTTCTGCCCGACATCGATGACAACTGTTCGGACGGCTCAAAGGACGAAAGCGACGGAGATGGCGGTAGCAGCGACGCCAGCAGCAGCAGCGGCAGCGATAGCGACACAAATGCCGATAGTGGTGACGATAGCGATGACGATGATTCAACACTGCAACTGCGTCAGCTGCTAAACGATAATCAACAGCAGCAAGAGGTGGCTGCACTGCTAAACGATAATGGACAAGAAGTAGCTGCACTGCTGAACGATAATCGGCGACAAGAAGTGGCAGCACTATTAAACGAAAATCAACGGCAGCAACTGGCAGCACTGCTAAACAACAATCAGCCGAATGCAACGCTGCCGCCCGCAACAGTGGCACAGCAGTTGATTCATGTAAACGGTTACAATTCGGACTTGCCGCCAAAGCGAATGTGTTGCGTTTGTTTGGGCGATCGAAGCGACGACATCAACGAAATTGTCGAATGTGATTCGTGCGGCGTTTCCGTACACGAAGGCTGCTACGGTGTCAGCGACAACGTCAGCATCTCCAGCACCAACTCCACCTGCTCCACAGAGCCGTGGTTCTGTGAGGCTTGCCGCGCCGGCGTTTCTGAACCGGATTGTGAACTGTGCCCCAATCGTGGTGGCATCTACAAGGAAACAGATGTGGGTAAATGGGTGCATCTGATTTGTGCCCTGTACGTGCCCGGTGTGGCATTTGGCGAGGTGGAACAGCTCAGCTCCGTGACCCTCTTCGAGATGCAGTACAGCAAATGGGGCGCCAAATTATGCTCCCTCTGCGATAATCCGTTGTTCGCCCGGACCGGAGTCTGCATTGGTTGTGATGCCGGCATGTGCAAGACTTATTTTCATGTCACGTGTGCCCAGGTTGCAGGTTATTTAATTGAGGCACATCATGAGGATGATGCAGCGGATCCATTTTACGCCCATTGCAAGGTGCACTCGGAGAAGGAGATGATTAAGAAGCGCAGACGAAATTATCACACTCTGCGCTTGAATATGCTGCAGCAGGCGAAGCAGAGAGCACAGCTCCAACAACAACTGATAGCAGCTCATCCGAATCCCGCTCAGGCGCGCATACAAAGGAAACTGCAGAAGATACAACATAAATATGCGCAGCACAAGCAACTCAAACCCACGCCTTGGGTGCCCACACAGAAGATGTCGCGTCTGTTGACCAGTTCCGCTTCCGCTTGTCGTCGTCTGCTGGATAAAGCGGAATTTATGGCCGTGGATGTGCAGCATTTGGAGCAGCGCGAGGCGCACATACAATCCTTGCAGGATATACGCAAAAAGTGGCACATTGCGCCCGCTTTCAGTGTGGAATTCACAGCCTACTACATGGATCGCATTGTGCGCATGGCGGACTTCAAGCAGCAGCAGCAGCAACTCATCCTGCAGAATTCCCAGCTGAGCCAGCAGCAATTGGAGCTGCGTGCCATCTACGATGCTGCGCTGGATGAGCGCAAACAGTTAAAGACCGTCAGGGATGCTTTGGGTGTTGCTCTAAAATCGCTGCACGCCGGTTTGGCTGCACTTTGTCCGGCTCTAACACTGACCAGTTTGGAGTTGATTGCCCGGCCACAGTTGGAACAGCAACAGCAGCAGCAGCTGGTCAAGCGTCCCATTTCGGTGCCAACAGCGGCAGCTTTGAAAATGGGTCTGGGTTTTCCACTCTCGCAGTTGGCTGGCAAGTTGGATAACTCGAGAATGTTGAGCACAGCTCAGCAGCAGCAGCTGAGTTCCTCCTCCTCCGCTGCCGCCTCCACCTCCAGCTCGTGCGGCATTTGCAAGCGCAACAATGATCAACATTTGTTGGTCAAGTGCGACACGTGCAATCTCCACTATCATTTGGGCTGCTTGAATCCGCCGTTGTCGAGGCCACCCAAGAAATCGAAGCAGTATGGTTGGCAGTGCTCGGAGTGCTGTGATAAATCCGATTGCTCCGATGTTGGCATCTCGGACATTTCAACGGGTCCGCGTAAATCTCGAACGCGCTTCAACAAGGATGGGCACTTGGTGTACGTCGATCGCTATTCACTCGACTCCGATGTGAACAAGGAGCTACAGCAGCAGCAGCAGCAACAGCAACAGTCGCAGCAACAGCAACAGTCGCAGCAGAAGCGTTCGCTTCACAAATCCCTGCCAGCTGCAGACGAGGAACTGCTGGTCAGCAGTTCTCCGAAGCGGACCAAGCTACAGTCGTCACCGCGAAAGACTCCGGGTGGGTAAAGAAAGGCTACCTTCTCTTAATGCCCAAACAAAACTTGCTTCTATTGCTTTTATTTGAATCTCCTTTGGATCCCTGATTAAAACTTCTTCTTCTTTCTTTAATCTTATCTCCTCTTAATGAGTAAACAAAGATTTCCTTTCCTTTCCCGATTTAATCTACTCTTAATCCATAAACAAAAGTAGATTCTCTTTCTCTGATTTAAGCTCCTCCAATCCCCAACCAAAGTTTACTTCAATTTCCCCGAATTATGCTGCTCTTAATCCACAGACAAGACTTGTTTCTCTAATCTTATCTCCTCTTAATCCACAGTTCAAGCACCGCTGGAACTCTTGCCACAGCCGGCAGCGAGTCAATCGATTCCATCGGGCTGCGAGGACTCCATCGATAAGCAATTGTCGCGCAAGGGCAAACGCAAGGATAAGCACAAGAGCAAGCACAATCTCTCCTCGGACACGGAAAAGTCCTGCACCAAAGAGCACAAGCGAAAGCGCAAGAAGCGAGCCCACGCGGATGAAACCACGCCCGACAAATCCAACGCTGGACGGCCCATTAAGATCATCTTCAAGACACTGCGACTGCCTGGCGAGGATGCGCCCGAATCGCGTAGTTTCTATGTGCCCGCCAATGCGGTCAGATCGGTGGATGAAGCCTCGCGGCCCACATCCGTGGAGACTGTCGAGGATATCAGCCAGCCCAGTCAGCCGGAGACGATTGCTGTGGCGCCACCAATTGTGACTAGCACACCACAAAAGCTCAAGGAGCCGCCAAAGGAGACACCTCCGACATTGACTTCCCCGTCGCCAAAGCAGCAGCAGCAACGCAAGATTAGTCCACGTAAATCGACGCCACGCAAACAGCGTGTGGGAAGACCGAGAGTGTCCAATCCCAAGCTCAATCTGGAGATCAATTGTTGCGTCTGTTCGGAGACGGGCAAGGCCAATCAGGTGGTGACCTGCGATGAGTGCCACAAGCATTATCACTTCGCCTGCCTCGATCCGCCGCTGAAGAAGTCGCCCAAAATACGCGGCTACTCCTGGCACTGTGCCGACTGTGATCCCACCGACGAGGAGGCACTGCCGAAAAAATGAAACTGAATGCTACCTATTAAATAACTATAATTATATAAATAATAATATTAATACTATAAAAAATAATTAGGTTCCTAATTTGTTTAATTTGACACAAAGTATCGGAAAATACTTGATAGGTATTATATATAAAGCTTAGTTGACCATCGAATTACATTATATATATATATATATATTATATTTTTATAGTTTTTTTTTTTATCTTTGCTATTTTTTAAATTTTTTTATCTGCGAAAGCTTGGAATTGTTTTGAAACTGTTCTGTATTGTTTACAGAATTAGTATGACAAAATAATGCTGAGAACAATCCAATGCAAATTAGCTTATAAATATATTTTAAATAAATATTTTACTAACACATTTTACAGATGTAGTTTTTAAGTTTATGAAGTAGCTATAAGTCAACAGATTTTTATGAAAGAATAATACAGAAGAGAACATATGCTAGTCAAGCCAAGCCGACTTTGAGATACTCTGCACCCAGCTGTTGAATACAGAGTATGTTCGCTAATAGTAGTTTCTTCAATATGAAAATATGTCAATGTATTTTATAAATTAAATGGAAAGCTAAATCACTAAACAGAAAATACATTTGTATCTCGTATTGCTGTCGTAAATCGATTTGTATCGATACAGAGACAGTTATCGATAAAATAAAATAAACATGATAAATAATGAATAAATGTATTTATTTACTTATACATTCATTGTCTAAAATTCACACATATTCATAGACGAGTTCCGTTTGCATCGGATTCGATATGGGCTTGGACATATAGGGACCATCAAGCTCGTAGCCCAGCTTGCGATAATAGTTCCTTGTGCCGACGCCGGAGATGACGGCAATCTTGATGCTACCGTGCTCCTCTCGAGCAATACGCTCCGCCTCCTCCATGAGCAGCATTCCAAAGCCCTGGTGCTGAAACTTGGTCGGATCCCGCGAACTAACTGGCACCACAGAGCCATAGACATGCAGCTCCCGCACAATAGAACAGCCCCCCTGTAACTCCGGCCGAAAAGTGTCTGGCGAACATTTACGCAGGCGCAGCAAACCCACGAGTATATCCTGTTCGGGATCCTCGTAGGAGAGGAACGTCTCCCAGCCACCATTGGCAACGTAATCACGGCGTATCAATTCAATTTCATACGGACGCACTTTGTTGTGTATCTCCTGGATGCCCACCTCACGGGTGCGCACATCCCGGCACACCGTGCCCAAATCCTTCATGCGCGCCAGCGCCAATTCACGCAGATTGCCGTGCTCCACGCCGGAACTAAAAATGAAGAGAGAGAGAGAGAGATCTTATATAGACTCGGATTACAGCCTGGGATTACGAACTCACCTAACCAGTGGCATGGGTATATCTCGCTGTACACGATAGACCCTCGTCCAGGGCGGCACCAGTGCCAGTATTTTGGCCACCAAATCTACCAGCATAGAGGGTGGATACGACTTGTAACGACCCGTCTTCCACAGCTCGTAGAGCCCAGTGCCGCGTATAACCAAAGTGGGATAGATTTTCAGACCGTCCGAGCGAAAGGCGGGATTCTCAAAGTATTCAATAAACTGTTCAATATCACGCTCAAAATCCACATTCGGCAGATCGGGCATCATGTGGGTGACAATCTTGTAGCCAGCATCTTTGCCCATGTTAAACGTTTCGCAGACAGCGCGCACTGTGTGTCCACGATTCGTATCCCTGGCGACATCCTCGTAGACGGATTGTACGCCAATCTCGAGGCGAGTGCAGCCATAGTTCAACATATCCGAAATGTGACGTTTTAGGCAATAGTCCGGTCGTGTTTCAATGGTGATCCCAATGCATTTGGTGCGTGATTTCTCCGAGTAACGCACAGCTTCCGCCACATTGGCACTGCTATGCCCGGAGAGTGCATCGTGCAGATTGCGAATGAAGTAATCGCGATATTCCTCGGACAGCGCCATAAAAGTGCCGCCCATCACAATGAACTCCACCTTGTCTACGGAGTGTCCCAGTTGCTTCAGCTGCTCGACACGATGCCGGGTCTGCAGGAAGGGATCGTAGCGTGCACGGATTGCACGCATCGACGTGGGCTCATAGCCCGTATAGGATTGCGTGGAGTACTCGAAATCGCTGTCCGGTCCGCCGGGGCAATAGACGCAAATGTTGCCCGTAAAATTGATGTGCGGACAACGATGCGGTTTACACATCACGGCCACAACAGCAATCTACAAAATGGAAGAAATCCATGAGTATTTGTAGTAGAGGATATCTTTGGGTTTTACTAAATACTAATGACGTAGTGGTGCTATTATTTTGGCCGCAACTGTATATAGCAACATCTCACTAAAACCCATTTACACATTTCTAATCCTCATTTCATCACTTACTCCACTTGCTGTCCTTATCGGTTTGGCGCGCAATTTGGGCAGCAATATTTTCTTGGCATCCTGCGGCACAGCTGCTATGATGTCCACCAGTCGTGGCGAATTATCCAAGCCGTATTTGGAGGAAATCAGGGATTTCATGCGATTTAGATTCACATCTTTTTTGGCTTCGTGTGCCTTCAGCAGCTCCTGTATAATTTCACCAATGACGAGCACCTGGCGCTCCTCACGGCTGAGACCAACAGCTGCCGTAAGAATAAATTAATATGAAATAAAATTGAGTAAAGTGTGCACATTATTGGTATTTATTATGACGCACCAAGTTTCTTCTTCTGTTTCATGTTATTCGTTTGTAAACTTTATAAATATCGCACGTGTTGTTATCAGTTGTTGTCAGTTATCGATACACGATATCAGCTATGATTAACGTCACAGCTGATTTGCAAATATGCATAAATTCAAACTGATTTTTGATGGTGTAGGAATAAGGTATAACCTCGCACTTGTTATTGACTTGAAGAGCAATCACAAACTCTATGGCTTATTTTAGACAGTTCAAGCAAATCAAGAACTTGACTATTTGGTTCTCTTTTTAATATAATATAGAATATAAATATAATAGAATACTGTTCTTTAATTTAAGAGGTCATGTTCTGTGAGCAACCTCTTACATTGTTTTACCATGCAAACTCAAGCCTGACTTGTCATCGCGTATCGATAACATTATCGATGCCATTCACCAAGTATTCTATGACGAGAAAAGCATCGTTTTGTGTTATTTGTGTTTTAAGAATTTTTCAGTGCAACGCATAAAGATGACTAGCTGCATACAGCAGCAGCAAAATGAACAGCAACAATTGCTGGAACAATTAAATGGCAGCGACGACGACGATGAGGATGAAATGAATGGCGACGACATCGAGGAGGAAAAAAACAAACAAATGTTAAACGAGTCTTTTAGCTACTCGGTGCGTAAAAGGGAAAAAAGAAGAAATATTTTGAAATGTGTGTAAACTTTATCCATTTGCAGAATAGCCATGCTTGCTGGGTGTGCAATGGTTATTACGGTCCCAATTTTGGTGAACCGGTTTGCGGCGCATGCCACGCATTTCTGTACAATGCACAACGGGCCGAGGAGCTGCTGACGGAGTTATCCGATGACGAAGACTCTGGCAACGATGAGCCGCCTTTTAAGGATAAACAGGAGGATGACGAGACGGAGAACGATGCAGACATAATGGGCTTTGAGGATCTGGAAGATGCAGCGCCAGCGGGAGACCAACAGCAGCAGGTGAACAATGAGCCAGCGCCGGAGGACGACGAACTGCAGCAGCAGCAGGCGGAACAGCTGCCATTACCTGTGCCGCTGGAGCCACCGCTAGAGCCAGTGCCGCTGCCCGTGCGTCGCGGCAGTCCGGAGCATGATTTCGAGCACGAACGTGCCGTGAATCCATTTGTACTGCCCATTAAGCGACCGCGTCCAGCGGCTCCATTAGCACTGCCCCACTACATGCTGGAGTTGGCGGATGGCCGGGCGCGTGCCCATGAATATGATGCAGGCGGAGGGAGGAGCAACAGCAACAGCAGAGGGAACCGCCAGTGCATCACTCGGCTCATACCCGTTGAGGTAATGCTTCAGATCTTTGGTTATCTGGATGACATGTCGCTGTGGATGGCCAGCGAGGTGTGCAAACAGTGGCATGAGATCATCGTCAAGAATACGGCGCAGAGCATGTGGCGTGCCTATCTCAAACAACGTTGGCCACTCTTCGAATGCCTCGTCGCGGAACCAGATTGGTATCGTCTCTATGGCGCCTTGATGTCCTCGTGCTTTTGTCGCACCTGCCTCATCGAGTTGGGCAGCCAATCTCCGCCAGCGGCGGAGCAACGGAATGTGATGCGTTCGAATTTCTTGCGTGGCGAAGCGAATCTGTTGAATAGCTATGGAACGGAGGGTATATCGGCCATACCCATGGATCGACAGAATAACTATTGGCAGGCAACGATTCTGGGTCCGCCCGGCAGTCCGTATGAGGGCGGCAAGTTCTTTTTGTTTATCTATTTTCCGGAACGTTATCCGATGGCGCCGCCAACGGTGCGTTTCCTAACCAAAATCCTGCATCCGAATGTGTCGCGTCATGGCGATGTTGGCATCGATATATTCCAACAGCAGAACTGGTCGTTGGCGCTGAATGTGGCCAAGGTTTTGTTGTCCGTTCAGAGTTTACTAACGGATCCGTATACCGAGATCTGCATGGAACCCGAGGTGGGTTATATCTATGAACATGAGCGTTCGCGATTCGAGCAACTGGTGCGCAATTGGACTTGGAAATATGCCATGCTGGAGCTGATGACGCCGCTCTTAAATTGAACGATCTATCTATATAGTCTATAATATATTTATCCCGCTAGAAATCGCACGTACTGAATGTTGGAGAACCCCCTTCTCTTAAGTTGTTTTTTATGTGTATTTAGTTTAATACTGCCATTTTGGATGTGGCTACTCTATTATTAACCCCCCAACATAGTCAAAATTATTCTTAAAATATATATAAATATAATGCTTCATTTTACGTGTTTTTTAATACAATTTCACCCAAATTACACTTAAAGTTGAGATGCTGGCATTTCTATTTCGTCCAGGACACTTTGGGTATATCGAAATGCTCCGTCAATGTGTCCAGATGCTCATTGAATTTCTCCACGCGCTCTTTGTGTGTCGTTTGTGCCTTGTCCATGATGCGTTTGTTTCGCATCTTCTCCTGTTGCTTCTTGCTGGCCAGCTCGGCTTTGGTTAACTTTCGTTCATAGTTGCTGCTGGATGAAGTTGCTCCAGTTGAGGCTGCCGTTTCGCTGATTTGCTGCTCAAGAAAGGCTCGCTGCAATGCATCTTTCTCCTTATCCTTGCTCTTTTGCTTCTTCTTCTTTTTCTTCAGTTCAGTGTCGCTTTTGAGCTTCAGTTTGCCTTTGGCTGCACACGCATATTCGTCGGACATTGTTTATAGTTATTTATTTTATTTGCAATCCAATTGTTTTGTTTTCTTGTTGCGAGGGCTGACAAACTATTTTCAGCCAGGGCTGCAATTGCTGTTCTCCGCTCAATAGTTGCGCTCAGCATCGATTATTAGATAATTATCGAATTGGCACCGCTTACAGTTATTTTTTGTGTTCGATAATTTTTCAATAGCTATTCTAAGTTAATTCTAATGTCTTTCAGTTATTTTTACTCAAGTCAGAAATAAGTGGCGCCTAGCAAAATTTAAAAAGTTTGAATAAAAATTAATTATAATGAATTGAATAACTTAATTCTTTCAAATTCGAAGATTAATTTATGCGCCAAGATAAAATTAAGCACGTATACACATGAATATCAATATTGGTTTCCATTATTCGCGCGTATTTCGTGAATCTATTTTCTTGCATTGCAACGTGTCTCTCCTTTTCTCTCTCGCGAGAGAGCTTTCGCTCTTTCTGACGGCCACCCACGCGTCATTTTGGTCTTGTAAAATGGAAAAGCTCGCACGCCTAATGCATATGTAATTGTGCGTGGCCAGGCAGCCGTTGACTTGTTAGCATTTCAGTTTCAGTTCAATCCCAACGAGCGACGGAACAGCAACTCGTGTGTGTTGTGCACACGCTCAAAGCGCGTTTGTAAATATTTAAAAAATTTATTCATAAATTGCTAAAACTGCAACACGAGGCATTTGTCTAACAAATAAAACCAGTGCGGATAGTTGTTCGTGACAAGTGTTTAAAAAAAAAAATACTACCAAAAAAAAAATTTTATAAAATACAAAATTTCAAAAATAAAAAATAATATTCAATTGTACAAAAAAAAAAAAAAAACACACAAAGTGCTAAGGTGAAAATTCAGCCCACTCTCTGTTCTCAAAACTAACGGTTTAGACATTAGGTGCAAAAAAAGCTCGCTCACCTCGCACATGCGTCCATGTGTGTGTGTGTGTGTGTGAGCTCAGACATTTTGCTCGCATGCTGTGTGTCTGTTTGTGTATGTGTGTGTGTGTGTGTTGGTTTTAGTATCCTGTAGCAAGTTCTTCACTCAAGGATAACAGTCGTAAAAGTACAACAATGTAATGAAAAATATCACAAAATATTATCATCATCATCATCGTTAGGCGAAAGTATTACATTTTTTATGTGCATGTCTTAAGCATACATGTATTTGTGTGTGTATGTGTGGGTCTGTGTGTGTGTGTGAGTTTCTTTTCTTTCCCACAAATTTTCATGTCTTTTCGCCCCATTTTTACTTGACAGAATTCACCTTTCGCGAATTTACGATTTGAATTCTTGTACAACTAGCGAAACCGTTAGTCAAGAGCCAAATCTAACGGTTTACGAGCCGTGCATGTAACAGGTAACCAATATAATGTCGCTCTCCCTCTCTCTAGCGCTCTGACTACACTCTCTCTCTCTCTCTCTGTCTCTCTCTCTCTCTCTCTCTTCCCACCTCTCACTCTCTTTCTGACACACGCGTCGCATTTTTATGCAGGTAAAAATAAAAAGCAGTTTCAAAGCAACATCAACAGCGGCTTTCAAAGTCATAAAATAATGTTAAGTTCGCATTAAAAACAAAAAGCTGCTGTTGAGATTTTCTTGTGCATTGCCAGGATTTTTCTTGTATTATATATGCAGATATTTGAGTGACAGCAGCAGTTAAACTTAGCATTTGAAAAGCTTTTACTCTGAGGCATTAGAATTGTTACAGAGTTTTTGGTTAATTTCGAAGACATTAGTAGACTTGCTGAAGTTTTTTAGGGACATGTTTTTAATATTTTTTATTTGTTAAAATGTAGTAGTAGAATTTTTTAGTGATTTTTAATATTTTAAACATAAATTAATAAATGAGTAAAACTATTTTTAAGCTTGAATCGGCTTAATTTGTGCTAGTATTTAATTCATTTTAGGATTTTATAACAGGACTTATTAGTTTTCAGCATATTTGTTGATTTTTAGTAATTCCAATACTAAGCCAGTTTTTGTTACACATACATTTGATTGAACACAAAATAGAAATCTAAAATCTCTAAGCCCTTGATCAATGGAAAGATTTAACTTTAAAATATGTATACATTTATGATATATGTCTGTATATATATCTAAAGTAAATTCAGCTTAGAATTAATTCAGCCTACTGTGAAAAGTCGACGTTTGTGCCAACTATGTATTTATACGACTATATTCAAAAGTCACCACAAAAAATATATATTTTGTGTTGCAAATACACGGCTAAGCCACATGTGTCCTCAGTTCTTATGCCACAAATATATCTGTTGAAATACCCCCCTATTTTTTATTTTATTTTCATTTTCATTTTTTTTTCGTTTTTTTTTGTCATGCCAAAAGTTAGTGACTGAAAAATAAACTTTTTCATTACCACTCGACCTTAAAATACTGTCGTATGCAAAATCGATTTGCCCACTTTGTGCCACAGACAGAGACAGACAGAGAAAAGGAGAGAGAGGGAGAAAGAGATACATAGATAGAGAGGGGAGGGGAAGGAAACTTGTGCCAGATGAATTTTGAATTATTCAAAGGATGCTGGTAAATATTTTATTCAACACGTCGCTTTACCCAAACCAGATTGATTTAAAATTCCAAAAATGTTTGCTTGTAAAAAAGAGCTGCGGTTGCAATGCGTTATTGAAATGCCATTAGCGCAATTTCAATGGACGACAAACACACACACCAGCCACACACTCACACACACACACACACACTCTCTGCTAGTTAAATCCTTTCCAGCGATTTTAGGCAGTTGAGTTCGTGCTCAAATATTTACATAAATGTGGGCCATGTATAACAAATATTTGTGTGTGCAACAGACAACACTTACACACAAACACACATACATCCTTTAACCCACACAACAATAGCAAGTAATCAAAGCACAATTAAAATGCATAATTTTCCAGTGCAAAGTTCAGTTCCGCAACGAAAGCGTTTCTAATTGCAAAAAGTGTTAAACAAAGGCATACAAAATATATTAAAAATATATATATATATGTATTATATATAGCTAATGTAGCTGCGGCATGCTAATCAACACTTGCAACAAATATAATAAATAGGCTGCAACATTTTGCTGTTTATTTTTAACCATTCGCGTGAAAATCCTTTGCCGGGCGCAGCAGCAGTTTCTAGTTGGTGGTCCTCTATGAAGGTGAGTCCAGTTTTATAATTAACATTTTTCTATTCTCTAAATATTAATAAATATTTTGTAAGCCTATAAATATATATATTTGGTTGAATATAGTATAGATTCATTATTTGTTTTTGCGTGCCCCCTCTAGCCTGTGGCTCTTTCACAAATGAAAGAACCTTTGTCGAGTTGAGATGTATTTCGAGATGATAATCTAGTTCGCTTAGAATAACATTTTTATCTGATTGAGTCGACACATTCTGCTATAATTAACTTTAAGGATTCCGCTATTGACTATAACTAATTTAGTTGGTTAACTTATAGGTCTTCTCAAGAGAGCGTATTTCAAGGCTATTTTAGCAACTTCTTATATTCATATTAATATTTACATATTCTTTTAATCATTGCACTCATTTTCCCTCACTCTAAAGTTGAGTATTCAATATTTCCCATTTTTCCATTTACTATTACATTTATTGTAGTCCTTTTCCCCACTATAAAGTTATGTTTTCCTTGATCCAATTTGATTTGCGCTTTAACGCCTCTTAAAATCAGCAAACTCGTTAAATCAGCAAACCCCAAGTTGCTCCATTTTCATTGGGTTAAATGGAAATGCATTTAAAAATTACGCGCATAATTAATAATTGAAATCAATTCAACCACAACCAATAAATGCACATTTAAATGAACGCACTCTTTATTAATAATTTGATATATTTCCACTCAATGCTTTCACTGGATTCTTTAATACAAATCAAATTGAATAAAATTACTTAACTATAATTGTAAATACAAATTCACAGCTTGTTCATTTTATGAAATAAATTAAAACATATTTGCATTATTTGATTTTATAGACTACTAATAAATATTTGACTCCGCTCTTAGGCAAAGTATTAAAATAAAGCTGCTACGATTATAGGGAGCTAGGAAACCGATTATATCGATAATTGCAAATCGATAACAGCACATATCTGCCACAATTGTTGAACTTCAATTGCTCGTTTTCACTCCAATTTTATTGTCTATTTTTACATATTTCAGCCTCCCACGAAAGTTATTTTCAGCTGGAATCAGTGTATTCCCTAGTCGACTATGCTCGACTTTAACATTCGAAATTGGTTTTATTCGAAATGTTTTCATTTGTGGTTTCGGCACTCACATTACGAGTACTCATTGCTGTTATTATTATGAATCAATAATATTCATTGAGTTTTTGAAAATTTGTTTGTATTCGTTATTCAATATTTGTTGTTCCAAAATTGTTTGCCATTTGCCTCGAAAATATTTCAACGTTATTGTATATATATTGTATATATATGTATATATATATATATTGATGTATAAGCTAAGTCAATAAACTTTTGTGGCGCTGGCAGCAAAAATGTTCATTAGTCTGTCGCGGGGATATTGTGGGTGGACGTGCCACTAATGGGCGTGTAATGAAAACTGTTTGCTATAATTAGCAACGAGCGCTCTCTCTCTCTCTCTCTCTCCCTTTATCTCTCTTTCTTTTATTCTATCTCTCTCTGTCTCTCTTGACCATTAGTTTAAACTGGTTATTGCTTAATTGCACTCACTGTTGCCTACTTTTGTGCGCAGTGGAACTCGGAGGCAGCTAATGCGGGTCTCATCTAATGACTCTTCAGTTCTGTTGCTCTATATATATATGTTCTCTTGTATATATATATATATGTTTAGCTCATTAAATTGATTAGTTATAGCCACCAATAATTGACAGCTAAATTTGTCCAACAGCTGTTGGTCTGCAGTTTTTAATAACGATTGATTTTACTTTAGCTAAAAGACGAGCTATTTACTTATTTTGTAAACTATTATTAAAGCCAATTTCAAGGCAACATCATAATTCCCTATGCAAGGGTATTAGAAATTATACGCAGTCAAAGCAAGGAGAATACATTTGGAAACAAAAGAAAAGACGGGAAAAACTCAATTTATAAGCCTACCACAACTTTTGTGCATTTTGTGAAGACAAAAAGGGAAACGCACAAAGAGCAATGCGACAACTGAAACTTATGCCAGATGTGAGCAACTGATGATAGATAACAGATGAAAGACAGCCGAGCAACAATTACTGATGAAAGATAAATGCTGAAAAAAATATATGATGAAAGAAATATAGTGAAAAATAACTGATGAAAGATAACAAGTGAAAAATTACATATGAAAAAAATTGATCAAAAAATAAATAACTGATAAAAGACTACTGATGAAAAATAACTGATGAGAGAAATATAATTTATGAAACACAACTTGCGATTTGTATATAAACTTCTATAAAATTTGTAGTTTTTATTTGTAGTTTTCCATTATTAAGTGAAAAGTTGTAGTTTTTTTATTGATACACAGACTGAGTCTAATTTAAGTCTCAGCAGGGCTACCCTAAATGAAAACCGACTCCTTTTTTTAAGTATCCTTCTTTTTTTGGAATAACGAGCTCATCTCTGATGAGAAATGCGGCTGCTTTGGGGCATGAAATGAGGTTCATCTCCTGGGTGCGAATGCTAAAGAAACTGCTGCAAGGACTTCAATTCGTTTGGTTTCTGTGTGTGTGTGTGTGTGTGTCTGGGTGTGTGTATGTGTGTATTACTGTGTAAATTGCGGCAGAGTGGCGACCATTTTCATGTATTTTTTCATTGGGTTTTTTTGTTCTTTTTTGGCACAGACAACGCGTGAAAAATAATGAATAAGTGATGTTACTCTGCGCGTCATTTTGTATTTTTGTGGCATACTTCAACATTTTATTTCTGCGCAGAATTGCGCTATGCTTTATTGCATATTTGCACCTTTTTTCATATTATGCGACCAAGTTTGAACTAACGTTTTTTTGCGGCTCCTTTTTATGCCCTTGCAGTGGGTTTAAGAATTTTGTTGTGAAGCTTGTAGCGTTGCATTGAGGGAGACTAGGACTAATCAAATCGGTTCTATAACTTAACTTAATGCCGAAAAAAGAGCGAAATCAAATCATAACCCTTAGGGAGTTATGAAACAGAAAATACAATACGACTCTGTTTGTCTGTCTTGAGTAACATCACCAATCGAGTCGATAGAGTTACACTCAGAAACCAATCTACTTAAATTTAAGAAAGTCGCACTACTTTTGCCGGCAAGGTTAACTTATCTGATTATTCAGTAACAACATTAATAATTTTCAAGGTTTGTGTATGTTTATATGTAGAATTCTTATATTAGCTTTTTTTGTTGCTATATTATTAATAAACATTAGTATTTTATGATTTCACATATGCAAACATTTTAAATAGTTTATAAATTGATATAATTTACGATTCGACTTCCCACAGAGCTGCTCGGGCCCTAAAGCAGACAACAACTAAACTCTAATATAATATCAGAGCCAGTAAAGGATTCTTTCTAAAAATCAATGTTTGTATTTATACTTTTTAGAAATGCATATCTTAATAAGAGCAAATATTTCGTATACACATTTTCAAGTTTTTAGAAATTTGTTATCCTACACTTAGCTATTATTTCTACAACAAGAAAAGATATCTAGTTTTCAGGGCGATTACTATCATTACTTCTTACTCATTACAGTCTGTCTGTTTCTATGCAAAGTAGTTCCTCAGTTGTAAACTTAATTTGCTGCAGGCAGTACAAATTTCCTAGATCGGATCACTATATCATAAAGCTGTCAGCGGAACAATCAGTCGAAAGTTGACTTCTTGTATGAAAAACATTCTTAATTACCACGATATCCAGGACCAAACTGGCTAGATGATGCTTAAAATGAAATCTAAGGAATTGTCAATAATGGACTACTCTTTACTACACTGTCTTAAGTCTCCCATAGCTCTTCTATCGGTAAGGGTATTGAAATTTCGGCGGGTCTAAGTTTCTTCTGTTCCTTCTTTGGTTTTGCTTCTTTTATTATTATTTTTTGCGCGTGCCTTGGCAAAGTTTGCGGCTCGGTTTATGTACGAAGCTCGGTCTCGAATTTTGTAGCCTTCTGACCAACATTACCTTCACCTTTTCAGCATATATATATATATATATATTTTTGTATATATATATATATACATATATATGTATATTTGTGTATATATATCAACTGGCTGGCACAAGAGGTCACCCAAAAACAGTTGCCTGCTTGCCTGCCAATTTACAGATGTTGTGTGTCCGTAAGTTTGTGTTGTGTACACACGAATTTTACACACACACACACACCACATAGACACACACACAACGCACACATTTATATATGCATGTTTTTGTAGGCTTAAACTTTTGCAGCACACTAAAATTGTAATATTCACTTTTTAGCTGAGTTTGCCCATTTGCTCACTCTAAAAAACTTACTGCGGTCTTTGCTCACATTTTCACTACAATTTCTTTTTCTTTTCTCTTTTGGGTGCAACTTTGTTTCTTTTCATGGTCTGAGGTTTGTGCTGGTATCACAAGAAAAAGAAGTACTTTTTTATTTATTTATTTAAGGAGATATACTATGCACAAGTATGCAACTGAAGTGTGGAGAGAATGTCTTGACATATAGCGTGTGTGCTTCTAACGGGGCTTTAAACTTAGCGAAACCTGTTACAAACAATTAAGAATGTTCTAGACGGAAGATCATAACTAGGCGATACCCTGTACCTAACTTTTTTTTTATCTCTAAAAGTGTTTTGTGTATTATCCAGTAATTCTTAACTCAATCCTGATGAAATTTTTGCAGCTGATCAATGCTGAATTAATATATGAAAAAATGACTGCATAATATTAAATTTAACTCGGAAATCAGATTATTTTTGGCGAATATACGAAATGAGAATTTTGTTCGAAGTTTATTGCAATTTATTTGTATGTTTTAGTGCAGTATTGATATAGGTACATACATAGCACTGAACATAACTTTAAAAAATATGTTTTATTACATTTCATTAAATATATTACCGGAATAATATTATATTAAAAACATGTATACTTAAAAATAGATTTTTCATTGTAAATAGATTTTTATCGATGTTGGAGAAACGGAGTAGCTTAAAGTCCCTGAAATCAGTTTATTCTTAAAGAGAAACTTGCCTAAATTGACTCAGCTTTTGATGCTAATCAATAATATATATATTCCATATGCTAAATTGCATATAGGGTATAATAAATGTGCTAATCACTGTCAATATTGTTAGAAACAATCAGAGAGATTAAAGATTTGCTCAAGTGATAATAAGCAGCTTAGCTAATGAGATAATCAAATAGAAACGAGTTTGTTACGAGGCACTCAAAACACAAGTTGCATCTTGCGACAGCTATAAATACGATTCTGAACAAAACTTAGATAGTCAAAACGACTTCAGCTGTTAAGATGAGAACTGTTTCCCTAACAATTTGCCTGCTGGCTGCTTTTTTGCTCAGCGCCGATGTCCTTGCTGCCGTATCCCGTGGCAACTTTAAGGATGCTGGTGCGTAGAACTTGTAGTGAAGTCTTCAGCTATATATCTATATGTGTATATATATATATATTTTAAAGCTCATCCGGGCAAATGTGTGATTAATGCCGATACCATTTTGAGTGAGGGTGAAACGAAAACAGACTCAAATTGCCAGCTCATCTCTTGTCATGCTAATGGCGATGCCAGTTTCTCCTCGTGAGTTGCCCACGCTCCAAATATCCTTAAATATATTATAAAATATATGTATATATATCTATTCTCTATATAGTTGTGGTGTTAAGGGCGCGCCTGATCCCTGCAAGATTGGCGATAAAAAGTATCCCAAGGCGGAATATCCCAAGTGTTGTATCAATGTCCTCCATTGTCCCGATGGAGATAAGGAACTTTAAGCAATCTATTAATTTTCTTTGATTTACAAATAAATACTGCATATAAATCGCTCAAAATATATTCAGCTTATCATTTTTATTTTTATTATTATCGTCCATTTCTAATACCCAGCTATTTAGCGCAAATCAAACATCATTAATCGAAACAGCTTCAACTTCAAGCCACAAGTAATTAAAGGAAGTGGTTTCTAATTGCTAATTGGCTAAAGTCAATGAAGGTTATAACAAACACACACACACACATACGGCTTAAGGTCATGAATTTACACACACAAAAATACCATTTACCCTTTGCCATATCTCATAAATGAGTCTTTGCGAGCTTTAATTAGTTTCAGTTAAATGCACTGCATCATTTACAGCGTTCTGTGTGTGTGTGTGTGTGTGTAGTGTGTGTGTAGTGTATGTGTGTGTGTACCTTGTGGCAGTGTTGTAAGTGAGTTTAAAGTGCAATTGTCTGAGATTCAGGGTTAAAAAAAGATAAAACCGCTAAATTAGAGACACCGAAGTTAATATACCCTTCTAGAACATACTCAACATGTTTTCATTATGAATAAAACAATCAACCTATAAATACTGCCTATGACAGCTATATGATAATGCTTTTCGATCCGTTATAAGTATATTTATAATATATATAAATCAGTCAATAAATAATATTCCATCAAAATCATTTTAAGACTGAGCAACGAGTTTGAATAGAAAAATACAGACCGATTGGCATGGCTATATCGACACGATTAGTGATGCTGATCAAGAATACATATCAATAGATATTATATTATTCAAGTAATTAAGCCTAAATAATTTAATTTTGCTTGAAATAATTAAGAAATTAAGTAGTAGTTGTAATATCCAAGAACATAAATTACATGTCCACTTAATACACCGATTCTCTAATTAATATTTTCCTGAAAAGAGCAGCAGCAATTTAAATAAACCGTAATTGCTGTTAATGAAATCCTTAGGTCAAAGTTTAACTTATTTATGGCATCGATTTGGTTGCTGTGACCTTAAATCGAATACCAAATAATATTTAAAATAAGGTCAAACTGCAGTTGAACAAAAGTGGGTGACAGCAATTCAAAGGGAAACACACACAGCGACACACACACATACTTCGAGAGACAGCTGGCAATTAGTGTTGTGGGTGCGGTTTCAGTTTCAGTTTCAGTTTCAGCCTGGCTGCTTTTATCTTTCCGCTTGCAGATTTTCGCTTATTGTTGTTGATGGCTTTTCGGGGGTCTCTTTTGGTCGCATGTCGCATGACAACAGAAATCGCCAGTCATAACGCCTATTTAGGTCTAAGCGTCCCATCCCAAAACAAAACTCGACCCTTGCTCGTAAAAAATAATAAACAAACGCCAGTTGAGCACGCCAAGTCAAATAAAGTAAGAAAGTAGCACATAATAATCTTACGACTTGATCTCACAAAATAAGTAGCCATAAGTATGACAAACTTACTTATAAGTTATGACACCACAACTAACTTCAGCCAAGTCAATTTACGATGTGCTCACACAAATTGAGATATTCTTTCTATCTTTGTTTGATTCTATCTGATGCCACTAATTTCTATCAAATTGGGGTGTTCCATTTAAAGATGCAGTTTGACACACTTTGCCTGAAACTCAAAACACTTTATTGGACAACAAATATTAAATGTTTGCTACAATTATCAGGCGTTCATTTATTAGAGTAGGTTAATGAAATATTTATATATTTAGATTCCAGTAAGTCTTATAACATTATGCATGTATTATGGATTAATAATATCGCTTTCTGTAACTGATTCTTTACAAAATTTTGAATTTCTATACCAGTTGTGAATTTCCGTAATGTGGTTCTGATTAGATGACCTGATTTTTTGACTAGTATTTAATAAATTCAATTAATTATTTTCCGGTTCGTTATCGTTGTATAACGATTAACTATATATATTCCTGTAAATTGTTCCTTAAAAAATGTTAAATTTTATTAAAGTTGCGGTTCCGGTTCCGATTTGACTAGGTTGAATAAATTAAAGTTGTGTTCCTCAAACTTTGATTGAAAAACATATGTCGAATATATATATAGAGATGCATTTCAGTGTGATGATATTTTGTGCTTAGACAGTTTTATTTTTAGATGTTCGATTCATGTTTCTGTGTAGCACAATCGCTAGAAAAACAACCACACAAAATATATTTTGTATATTGAAAAAAAACAACCAGACCAGATTATTCACATTACTTGGGACAGATTACTTCGCGTTCACAACAGTCGGGATAGTCGGCATCGGGGAATTTCACGGCACCAAATGTACAGCCTTCAATGCTAACGACACCGCAACTGTAAAATATGATAATAAAATAATAATAATAATAATAGAATATATATGTATCAATTAAAGATCAAGTGGGAGTTTTAGATATATGTATTTAAACTCACGTATGAATTTCAGCCATGCTGTCATTTTCACAGATAATGCGCGCGCAGTCCATATCGGGATATTTGGCCTTGTCTCCCGGATTCATGATGAGATTTGCATTGACGTAGCACTTGCCGGGATGTGCATCATTCTTGAACTCGCCACGCGAGACAGCTGCCTCAGTTTGCGGCACGCTGAACGCCGCCAGCAGCAGCATCAGTAAAATTCCGTTCAAAAATAAATTCATCTTTACGTGGCGCACTCAAAATGTTGACTGATTCACAGCTAAACTGCCAGCTGGTGGCGAGCTATTTTTCCGTAGAGCCATGCAGTTTCCGTCCCAAACAAGGGGGCCATGGGTCAAACAGGTTTCAGATTGCGTCAGTTTATTTGTTTGTTTACTATGAGTTTGGTTGGAAATATTAGCGAGGGTTGTAAATAGTGTAGGAGTATTAAGTACTAGCTCATACTGAGGCGTTTACTTGCTTAATGACTGAGTATATAATAAACAACTGAAATTGACATAGTTGAGACAACTCGACTGGGAGATATCCTAAACCCAGTAGGATTGCTGAAAGTGATGGACTCCAAATCAATAACAACAGGTCAGAGTGTATACATATATATGAATTGGAAGATAATATCTCTACAATTGTGCACTTTATTGCTATCGGTAATCGATTTGTATCGATTTGTTGAGAAACTGGGAAAGATAACAATAAAATAAAATAAACCAATTTTTAATGTGTTAATGCGTATAAAAAGCTTCATGTTTTTATGTAGCACTTAAATTAAGAATTGCTCATAATTAATTGTCATTGGTAAAGTGTCATCTATTAAAACTAATTACCAAATTCCAAATGTTGATTATCAAATACAAATTTAAAATTAATTAACTATTAAAACAGAAGAAAATTACTTACAATATCAATAACACAAATTAATTATATTGTTTCCAATTTATTATGATGATAAACCATGATCAATGAGATATTTCGTTTGAAAATTGTTTAGGTTTCTAGCAAGGCATCGGAAGTGGCAACTTTATCTATTTAAATTTAGAACTGATAGTGAAATTGAACGATTTTTTTTAAAACCAGTTACAGTTAGGTACACTTGGTTCCATTAAACTTTACCAAACACATATAAAAAACGATCCTGGTTAATTAATTAATACTTATGACGGTTAACTATTTTTAAAACTTCCCCACAAGTGTTTTTTTTTGGAAAATTACAATACAATTCCACTTATTGTTGCCGATAAGTACATAATTGCAAGGTATGACAAAATTCAACTATATAGAAATATGATTATTCAGTCTATGAGTCTTATGAATATATATATGAATTTATTGAATTGATAAGAAACGAAAATAAAAACAAGCAATTTGAAGCTCAATATTAAATATTAAAATTAGATTTAATTAGGCATTTTTACTTGATTCTAAGTACAATGGATTTGACAATTAACAGCAAGCCAAGCCAAATAAAAATAACGTTTAATTAATTTAGATAACGTTCACAGCAATCAGGATAGTCAGTATTGGGGTCTTGTATTGGCTTGTATCAAATACACAGAGAGGATTTTGCTTCAATTTACCGCAACTGTAAGATAAAAAAAAATATTATATGTATATATATATGTATTAGCCGACCTGTGTATTTGAACGATCCATATCAGGATGTTTGGCTGTCTCGCGCAGATTCAGGATGAGATTTCTCAGGATGTGCGGCATCTTTGAACTTGCTACGCGACGCAGCCATAGTTTGTGGCACGAATAATGCCGCCAGCAGCAATGAAAAAATTCATCTTTACATGGAGCCTGATTCACGGCTAGAGTTTTTGAATGTCAGCTAGTTGTGGCAGTGAGGCAATGAGAAGGTATTATAACTCTACTTAATTATTTGAATAATTCAAATTAATTAGGCTAAGCTACTTGAATAATTCAAGTTATTTTCGCTTGAAATAATGAAGTAATTAAGTAGTAATTATGTTAATATCCAAGAACATAAATTACATGTCCAAATAATACACTGAGTCTCTGTTTAATGTTTCCTGAAAGGAGCAGCAACAATTTAAATAAGTTTCACTTATTTATGGCAACGATTTGGTTGATGAGACTGTTGTGTAGTCGAACTGCAGTTGAATAAAAATGGGCGACACCAATTCAAAGGGAAACACACACAGCGACACACACACATACTTCGAGAGACAGCTGGCAATTAGTGTTGTGGGTGCGGTTTCAGTTTCAGTTTCAGTTTCAGCCTGGCTGCTTTTATCTTTCCGCTTGCAGATTTTCGCTTATTGTTGTTGATGGCTTTTCGGGGGTCTCTTTTGGTCGCATGTCGCATGACAACAGAAATCGCCAGTCATAACGCCTATTTAGGTCTAAGCGTCCCATCCCAAAACAAAACTCGACCCTTGCTCGTAAAAAATAATAAACAAACGCCAGTTGAGCACGCCAAGTCAAATAAAGTAAGAAAGTAGCACATAATAATCTTACGACTTGATCTCACAAAATAAGTAGCCATAAGTATGACAAACTTACTTATAAGTTATGACACCACAACTAACTTCAGCCAAGTCAATTTACGATGTGCTCACACAAATTGAGATATTCTTTCTATCTTTGTTTGATTCTATCTGATGGCACTAATTTCCATCAAATTGGGGTGTTCCATTTAAAGATGCAGTTTGACACACTTTGCATGAAACTCAAAACACTTTATTAGACAATAAATATTAAATGTTTGCTATAATTATCAGGCGTTCATTTTTTAGAGTAGGCTAATCAAATATTTATATATTTAGATTCCAGTAAGTCTTATAACATTATGCATGTATTATGGATTAATAATATCGCTTTCTGTAACTGATTTTTGAATTTCTACACCAATTGTGAATTTCCATAATGTGGAGGTTTCGGTTCTGATTAGATGACCTGATTAGTTGTAGAACAATCATTGAGTTTTGTGTTTCTTAAACTTTGATTGAGAAACATATGTCGAATATATATATAGAGATGCATTTCAGTGTGATGATATTTTGTGCTTAGACAGTTTTATTTTAAGATGTTCCATTCATGTTTCTGTGCACAATCGCTAGAAAAACATGTTCCATTCATATTTCTCTTCATCGCTAAAAACACAACCACACAAAATATATTTTGTATATTGAAGGCAGACAATCTGGCGAGATTATTCACATTACTTGGGACAGATTACGTCACGTTCACAGCATTTGGGAAAGTCGGTATCAGGGGAATTTCGTGCAACATATTTACAGCCAGGGGGTACGAATATGTCATTGCAGCTGTAAAATATAATATTCAACGTATAGAATTTATATATATAAATCAAAGATCAAGTGAGAGTTTTAGATATACATATGTATTTAAACTCACGTATGAATTTCAGCCATGCTGTTATATTGACAGATAATGCGTGCGCAATCCAAATCGGGATATTTGGCCGTGTCTCCCCGATTCATGATGAGATTTGCATTGACGTAGCACTTGTCGAGATGTGCCTCATTCCAGTACCCGCGTATGCTGACATTTGCCTCAGTTTGCGGCACGTTGAACACCGCCAGCAGCAGCATCAGTAAAATTCCGTTCAAAAATATATTCATCTTTACGTGGCACACTCAAAATGTTGACTGATTCACAGCTAAACTGCCAACTACTTTTTGTGAAGAGGCTTTCTGATTGCATCCCAAACAAGGGGCAAAGGGTCAGACAGGTTTCAATATACCTATGATAATGAACCATTTTTTTTAAAAGGTAAAGTTTCAACATTCCTCCATTATTTGTTGTTTATAAGCATGGACTGCTGATAAGTACATAATCGCTAGCTATGACAAAATTCACCTTTTAATAAATATGATTATTCAGACTATGAATATGTAGATGAATTTTGAACTTATTTCATTTGAGTCATTTCCGTTTATTGAATTGATAAGAATCGAAAATAAAAACATGCAATTTGAAGTTCAATATTAAATATTAAAATGAAATTTAAATTATCGTCATTATATTGATTTTAAGTAAACGGGATATTTAAGCCAACTAGGCTCTATTATGCACAGATTAGATAACGTTCACAGCAATCGGCATTGGGGTCTACCCTTGTATCAAACACACAGAGGATCTGGCTTAAGTTTACCGCAACTGTAAAATAAAAAATATATAAAAAATGAGATTTCAGTCAGGAAGATCAAGGCTTAAACTGCTGGTAATTATATAAAAATATGACCAATTCCACTTTGAATAAGTAAAAACTTTTGTTGCCAAAATATATATACATTTTGACTTTACTTTCCACAAAAACTTTTGCTTTAAAATGATTACTACAGATTGCTGTGTGTTCTACTTATTTAATTTAGTTCTATACAGAAAAAAAAGAATGAAATAAATAGCACACTTAAAAGCTAAGTGACAAGAAATTTGAAAATTCAATCACATCGAATAAAACGCTTGCAGCAATGAGGAAATTCCGAGTCCCAGTTCTTGAATCTTGCGTAGCGACAATCATTTGGAGGTGGCACATAATCACAACTGATATATGACAGATGGATATATTATGATATAATCAAAGATTAGATTAGTTGATGATTAATTCACATACGTTTGCAGCATGCCCCACCCATCGCCCATGCAAAAGATTCGAGTGCAGGGCAGCGATTCCAACTTGACGGATTCAGCGAATTTTAGCAGCACTACGGAGGTGCCCATGTCCACAACACAGCGACCAGGATAAGCTAGATATGGGCTTATTATTTATAATAGAAATTAATTTAAAAATATACAAGATAATAAATCGGTTCCGGTGCATAAATGTAATGAATTTGTTTTACTTTTTCGTTACCCGGTTTTTGTTTATTATATACTTTTATACATATAGAAAAAGTCTGCAAAAATTTCACACTTACCAATATCGCCATAGTTGTTTAATGCGTTTAAGGCTTGAGTCTGAGTAAAGCACTCGAACAACAGAAAAATGATCACAGCTCTCAAAATAAACATATTGTGTAGTGTAGTTCAGGAAGATATATGTCTGTATTATAATCCACAGCCTGCTTAGTTAGCTACAGATCACTCTACGTTTACAACATTGCGGATAAGGTAGCTCCACGTTGACATAGTCGCCAAAGCGGCATAACGCGGGAATACCGCTAATGGCGCCACAGCTATTAGTGGGAATTTCTTCATTTATATATCATATATATATATTTATCTATTTCGACCCACCTTTGAAATACTGTGACACCATTTGCGCCACACACAATTTGGCGGCATTCGTGCGTTGGATCTTTTATGGTGACGCCCTCATTCAGTATTAGCCTGGACGTAATCGCACACTTACCCGGAAAATCTATACGAATAAGGATATTATTTGGTCAGAGACTGCTTTCCTATATAGTACATACCTGCATTGCGATAAAGCGCTATCCATTCGGCTGCTTGAACTACAATTGATCCAAATGCGATTAAAATTACAATAAGTAATTTCATTTTGCAGCTAAAAACTACAACAATATAAGTTAAGCAATTATTTTAAAATGACAGAGTTTTAAAGATGTGCTAGGCTTACAAGAAACATATATATTAAAATAAATAAGAGATACCTTAAAGTAGGTATAGTTAGAATAGATAGAGATGCCTGAAGAACTGTAGCTGATCCTTGGATTAAAATCGCATAAAATCTTAATTTTTCACATTAAATGATGTGAATTTATAAACTATCTAAAATGTTTTTGTTTATGTTTTATATTATTTGTTATGTACTATATACGAAAACATTGTTAATAGTTTCTAAATTCATATTCATAAAACTTGACCTTAAAATTAGTAAAAGAAAAACATGCATTTTAGAAATATACTTTCTAAATAAAGTTAAAATTGGAGCCAGTTTTCAAAAATTAATTGTGATTTTTTTCTGAGTGTAGCCCAACAGAGGAAGGACATCATGAAGAGATACATCTACTATGAGATTGACCTGACAAAAGCCCTGCGGCAATTCAATATGACCCTAGGTTATTTAAGCTATTATAAAGGTCAATATCAACAAAGTCCCTTCGGTATTGTGTGTGCTGAAAGTGAGAACGCTTAATTGTTTGATGGCGAAGGCAAAATGTAGATTGAGTTGGGTTATGTTAATTGATTTTCACAAACAGCTGAAATCCTTCAACCAATTCAGCAGATGTTTACAAATACATTCAACGACTCAGTATTCAGAAGTGAATAGCAATCGAAAGGTGATATTGAATACACTTTGTTACTCTTTCAAGCAGAAACTTTGTAGTATGTAATTAATATTCAATTAAAATACACTTTTTATTTAGCCACCTCTTCTTGATTTCAATTACGATTAATTTGACAATTAACAACAAAATATAAACTAATCCAAACTAAAATGGGATTTACTTTAAGCTAGATTGCAGTCAAGGGGAAGACGGCAGCAGTCGGGAAAGGTTGTATTAGCATTTTTAGATTCATTATATTTGCAGCCAGTGGGCAGATCTGCATTCTCACAACTGCACAAAAGTAATTCCTTAATGTAATTAAAAGTAATTAAAGGAAAAAGAAGACGACTTACGTGTAGACCAAAGCCCAACTAGCGCGACCGCAATAAATTTCAGCACATTTGCCCGGATAAGCCACAGTCTGATCACTATCGATTACCAATTGAACACCCTCAGGTGAAGACACAACACATTTATTGGGATGCTCTGTAGGGGTTAGAGGTTAACTATATGAACTAGTTGCAAGTTAAAGTATTACAGAAGTAAGATAACACTTAGACGAGGAGAGAAATTTAGACCCAAGTGAAAGAGGCACTTTCTTATACAATTAAACAGTTGACGGTGAATCTTTTGTAAGATAAAATTAAGATGAGTTTTTCTTTTTCTAAATATATCAAATATTAATTTATTAAAATGTATATATATTTATCCACGGTCTGCAAGGGATTGTAATCTTTGGCTTGTCTAAGATTGTCGTTTATAGTTGGTTGTTTATCAGTCGGAATTATAGTCTTGAGCATCCTTTCTCTTAATATTTATATATGCCACATCTTACCATCACTTTTAAATATGGCATGATAGGCACCAGCCTCGACACGTTGATGTTGCAACATCGCAATGAGCAACAGGATCAAACAGGCAATCAGCGGCGACATTTTTGTGTGTGATTTTCTTACATAAGTTGCTCAGCTGTTCAGTTGTGTGTTTTCAGGAAATTTTACTAACTGATTCAATTTACAATATGTGTGTGTCAGTGTTTGTGTATGTGTGTGTGTTAGTGTGTGTGTGTGTGTGAAATGCCTGCTTCGATTGCTGGCTGTCGATTTCATATGCACATTTTAATTAAAAGCATCAGCAGCAAGACTGACACAGAGACAAATACAGCTAAATCTACTGCTGCAGATACACTCATAGATGCGCAGATACATTTATCGAATATGTTAATCCCGTTATGTGCATGTTGCACACACACACACACACATAGACGAAGAACAACAGTTGCTGTCGCTCTTGTTGTCGTTGCATAATTCGATTAAGCAATGTTGACGCCCACTTGCCACGCCTCTCCCTTTAGTGTAAATATTTGCATTTGTGTGTGTGTCTGTCTCATTTTGATTGCTGCTTGTTGCTCTGTTTGCCACTCAGACATGCTCCCTCCCCCTCCATCCTCCTCCATCCACCTCCTCCGCTTGAGGCTGCCGTCTGCAATTATTTAGCTACCCAACAAGCCAAATGTAGACAAATTAGTGGCCATATAATTGATGCACCTGTGTGTCTGTGTGTGCTTTGTGTGTTTATACCTTGTACCCTGTAAAAGGGTTGAACAGGGGTATTACCAAAATAAAGGTTTAATTGACAACAGCGATTGATTTGAGAGAAGACACTCATCAGATTTGTTTATATTATAAACAGACAAACTTTATTTAATAACCCGTAAACGGTGCTGATATCATTAATAAATTTGTGATTCTTGTTTTAAGAATAATTTCTGAATATAAGAAAACATTTTTCTAAAAATTGGAAAGGCTCTAATTCGACAATCTCATAATTCCGATTCGGTTCGACACCCAGCTTTATTATTTTTATTCTTGCGCTAATCCATCCACATAAAAATATATCAATATGAAACACCAAATTAGATACACCAAATTTTATATACATGTTTATCACTTTATCATATGATGAATACTTTCTTAGATTTGAGTGAATACTTTCTTCAGTCAAGTTTCCCAATTTTGCTTACAGTTTTTGTTTCCATAACTACAAATTAATGTTACTACAGTTGACAGCTGACAGAGTAGCTGGCAGTCGTTCAGTGTCAATTAGACCAATATTATTTGTTTGTGTTTCATGTGTTTTCTGTTTGTGTTTGTAGTTGTTGTTATTGAGTGTTTAGTTGTGTTGTGCCAACCAAATGTAAATCCATTGCTGATGTTTTTGTTTTAGCTGCAAATACTTCTGACTACTTGCTCTGTTCTCCTCTCTCTCTCTGTCTTCTCTCTGCTCGTCTCGCTCTTCTCGCTGCTCTCTTCTCTCTTCTCTTGGGGTACTGTGGCAATCGCCACACGAACTTGATTACATTTGGCCATGCTGGCAATTAGGCTGGCGGCCTTCAATGTTTGCCAGCTGAAATTAATTGAATCGAACCGGCCTCAGCTGAGATTCAAATATGCAATTCTCCTCACTCCCAAGATGGAAGGCACATCTGTTTCTTTCGTTCGACTTTTTCTATTGTGTTTTTGGCTAAACAAAAGCGAATAGTTCTTGAAAAGTCGAAACCTCAAAATGTGGTGCACATCAAAATATACAAAGCGGAAATACAACAAAGGAAATGTAAAGAAAATTCTTACACATAAATATTGGTAATTTTTCGCATTTTATTCAAGTTGAAATTTGAACTTTTAAATAACCACATGTTGAATAAATAAATATGAAAATATTTGAAGGAAAACCATTTAAAAGCAATTTGCTATTATTAAACTTGCTTAAAATATGAACTCAACTCAATGAAATAATTTATTTAGCAATATATTCGTATTGAACTTGGCCAATATATAGACTCAACAGAATTACAAAATGTGCTTAGCTTGTATTGCTTTTGCTTTAATATGCTTTGCTTTATTAATGAATCGATTTTAATGGTTTTCTTTGTATCAGCGAAATAATAAAATATCAACTGAAATGACCATTAAAATTGTTGTTGTTTGTCTTTTTGGTATATATAGAAAATAGCCATAACTTTTAGCCAGCTCAGAGAGACGCATAAATTTAGCTGGATCGATAGACAGATACAGATTCAGATACAGATACAAAAGATGGTACAGAAACAGATGCCCAGATAAATGTATTTAAAATGTAATTCTTGCCTCATTTTGAATAAATAAATAAGAAAATATTTGAACAACTGATTGATGGAAAACTATTATTATTCAACTTACCTAAAATACTGAATCAATTTGAAATGAAATAATTTATTTATCTTGGTTGTTTTAATATGATTTGTTTTATTAATGAAACGATTTTTATGTTTTATTTTCTTATCAGCGAATTAATAATATACAAACTGAAATGCCCCGTTTAATTTGCTGTTGCTTGTCTTTTTGGTATATGTAGAAAATAGCCATAAGTTTTGGTCAGCCCAGAGAGACGCATAAATTTAGCTGGATCGATACAGATACAGATATAGATATAACAAACACACAAAAAAGGTACAGATACAGATGCCTAGATAAATGTATATACAGAAATTCTATTCGATTTGCATATATAAGCAATCAACACGTAAACGCAGCATAAATAACAAATTGCCACGCAAATGGAAGGTGGAATGGAGAGAGGGGAGTGTGTGTGTGTGTGTGGGGGAGGGGGCGCGGAGTGGGAGGTATACACACACATCTACATAAGGGTCAACATACGACGGTCAATGGCAACATTTTTTTTCTTTCTTTCTTTTTTTTTGGTTTTTGTGTTTTTGCCCCAAATGAAAATCTTTTGGGCGCCCAAACAAACAGCTTGGGTCCTAAGGGAACTTGATTATACATATATACCTACATATATATATATATATATATATAGTTATACATATGTGTAAGCTTTCTCTCTGTCTGTCTCTCTCTCTCTGGCTTTGCGTTTTTTTATGGTTGCACATAAAGCACACATAATTATAATTTCAATGATATTTGAGTTCATATCAAAGTGAATGAGATACGAGCACCCCACAAGCCAAATGCTTTATTTTTATCGCCATTTGTGTTCTGACCCAACAAAAAAAAAAATAAAAAAATGTATTCGTCTTCTTTTTTTTTTGTTATATTTTGCATTATATATGAGTTTCTTTTTATCTTTCTTTATTTTTGTGAACCCAGCGGTCTTTAAAGTTCATATTAGTTGCCTTATGCATGTTTATTTCGGTTTCTGCAAACTTAATATTAAAGTTGTATATACAAACTTAGTGGAAATGGTTTTCACTTGGAGAATCCAATCCACTGGGTGGATTAATGGATATATATATATATGCATAAGCATTGAAGTTTTGACTAAATAGTCCTGGTTTTTCAAATATCTGAGAAGCTTTGACTATGTTATAGCTGTGGACATTTTAGACCTCTCTCAAGGAGCTTATGTGGAGTGAAGAGGCTTAAGGGTTTAGAGTTCTATTTTCAATCTGTGATGTTTATCTATGTGATGGCTTTAGATATTTTTGACCTGGCATTTAGTGCAATTTTTAACATTCTAAATTTATATATAGTTTGAATGAAAATCTGATAACTTTTGACTCGACAAATTTAGTCCCGTTCCTGCCTGCTGTCGAAAAATCAATAATTGAACTTACTACAGGTGAATTCATTTAAATTAAGCAGCAACTAATTCATAAACAAAGAGCACAGCATAATTATAAATGCACTCGCCAGTTGAGCTGTGAATATGTTACACATGGCGTATACGTGACAAGCAAAATACTCAAAACCATTCAACATTTGCTTGCATAGAATTTTCAAAAATAAACAGTAAGTGTTGATAAACATTTTCTGTGAAATATTCAACAGCTATTCGCTGCTTAAAATACTTGATAGACCACAAAATAAAACTAAGCCAAAAAAGAAGAAAAAACCGCAACAACAACAGAATAAAAAGGGCAGTAAACGTAATTTCTTGTTGCACTGTGATTTTATGCTTCCAACCAAAAAAGGGGGGAAAATCCAATAAGTTAGCCTGTCTCCCCCTTCCTCCGCAACTGATTCGCATCATTGCAATGCATTGTTCAACGGTATCTATCTATGCTGCTTGCTCACTCACTCACTCACCCTCACTGCGCTCTTGCTATTCTGCTCTTGCAGTTTTGTTTTTGTGCGCTTCTTCCGTTGCTTTCTAGTGCACTCAAAAGTAACGCTAGCAACAACAACAAGAACAGGCAGCTGTGACCTTCAAATGCACAAATTGACTCAACTGCTGCTGCTGCGGTTGCTGCTTGTTGTTGCTTTTGTTCTGCTTCTCCTTGTTCTTCTTGCTTATGACAGCGCTGCCATTCAGTTTTTGAACATTTTTGTTGTTGGCAATGCAAAATGTTTTTTTTTTTTGGTTGAATTTTGTGCAAGCTGCTCGTTTTCTTATTTCTTGCATTTTCTTTTGTTCGCTGGTCTTTCAACGTTTCTGTTTTGTGTCAGCTTCCCCAAAATGTGCAACAATAACATCAACAACAACAGCAACCGCAACTGTAAATGTAATGTAATTTGGCAACAATTGCGCTTACAACTACAACAATAACAATAACAAAGTGAGTGTGGCAGGAATATGCACGTGGAATTGAGTTCTCTTTGGTGTTGCTCGACTAGCAGATACTCTAGGAAACAAGTGTGCGTATTTGTGTATCTATAAAATGATGGTTTTTTTTTTATATCTATCGATAAGTTATCGAGTAAATGAAATTAACTTGTTCTGCGTATGGGACACCTTAAGAAACGAAGATGTTTAATTTGGAAAACATAATTTGAAAAGTAACCAAACTACTTAAATCAATTTTACAATTTGTAGAAATTCATAAACTAATTTTTGTATTTTAAATTTATTTTACTTACAGGTAAGCCTGCCATTGAATATACTTGAACTGTGAACTATTGATGTATGTGGCAAGTGAACAATCTTAATGATTTATGAGCTCAAGTTTTTAGAGTATTTTTAAAGATTTTTCATCTGAATTTAAAGCAGCGTGATTACTTACCTACTAAAATAT